TCTACTATTCTACAATATTTCGTGAGCGTAATGATAAATCTTTTAATTCCACATTCTAAAACTAAAACAGGTAATTTCAATTATCACTATTTGTACGCGGTTTGAGGTAATCAAGAATACTATTAAATAGAAGTGGACAAATAACGTCACCCTGTCTTACACCAGAATAATAATTTTCAGACACACTCTAAATTTTTATCAGCATAATGTTATATATATTATCAATATATACAAGTAATGTAATAAATAAAGCACATAACTGGACACAATTTTTTGGATAACAATTACTTTAGTTAAAAACTTGCGACGTTTCGACGAAGGAACTTTCATCTTTATCAGGCAATGATTATCATCCAATTACTAAATAAGACATTGTTTTGGGGGGTTTAATTTTGGCAGTTTCTGATATCTTTCTAAAATGATATATACTTTCTTTGTAAAAAAAAGTGTTTCTTACATAAATCTAAACGTTATTGATAAATTTGAAAACATAATTTGCTGTTAATTTGTATCTGAAATTGTCTTATACCTATAATCTTTATTTGCAACATTTTACACCATTTCTGGTCAAAGGCAATACATAAAGTGACAAGTACAATCACATGATACAAATTAACATCATCAAATACAAATTGACAATACAAATATACAATCACAAAGGACGACTAGATGATAAACTGACAATAACAAAATATATGACATGCGGTTTTGTAAAAATTTCCTAAAACTATAGTCAATTTGTATTAAATATTTTGATGGTAATGGGTATTTTTTATATGTGTTTTCTTTTTTTCTTATTTTTGAATATTCTAAATGTAACGAGTTAAATTATATCTATATGTGTTTTTGTATGAATATTGTGAAACTGGTAAATTCTATCTATCTATAATGATAAATTATCTACAAGACATGTTAAATAAATCTTAAAATAAAAACTTTAAAACTTCTCTACACCTGACCATTTCAATCTTTAACTTCATCAATCTTAGAAAATAAATTCATCAACTTTCTTATTGACACCGAGAACATTCTTCTCTTGACAGAAATTTGACAAATGAATGAATTGTAAGTTTACAGGTGGAATTTCAGTTAAATTGAGAAATTATTCAGTAATTACTGGCGAGTATTTATCATCATTAGGTGAATCAAAATTCAGATGGAAGGGGTGGTGTTACGCAGAACATCGGATCTGACGAGGTTTGTAGGGCAAGGTTCAGGGGTTCGTCCGAAACACTTCACAGTCAGTAAGTTCCAGTGTTAAGTACATTATTGCAATAAAATTAAGGATTTAAGAATGGAACTGAGTAGGTTATTCCTCGATAAGATAGCGGGATATTCTGTATACTAGTTTGATTGAGAAAGTAAAGGAGATTTCGTATGTTGAAGACGTATCTTAGAATCTGATAGGATTTTTCGGTTTCAATCATGATATCGACAGACACCAACACTATTGCCGTTTACTGAAGGTCTAAAAGGATTCTTAATATATTCACCTTCACTTCTGGTTTCGGAAGTGCTTTCTGTGTCCAGATTTTGTGGCTATTTGAAAAAAAGCTGATCTGAATTTTTCAAAATGTATTTGATACACAAAGAAGAATTATGACGAGTCCCCGGAGTCAAGGTAATCAAGGATAAAAACAGCTGAATTGGATCGTCAAGAAAATTTGGCGCCAAACGTGAGGTTAAGTTTGATTACACGCCTGGTTACTAGATGAATATAACAGAATGATAGAAATTATCACAGTAGGTAGTCAGTCTTGTGTCAGATTCATTTTAATATCACAACTTACTTTCTCATTTGTCGACCTCAATTTTTACAAATCATAGTTGGAGACGACAGAAAGACTAGGAACTGGAGCAATGAAATCTTTGGTGAATACTGTTGTCTCCAAGAATGTATGGATTAATGAACAGTTTGCTCATTTACTGTCAGCCTGTACAATTCATTGCTTTTCTGAATGTTTTGCGGGCGTTTATGATCTATCATGTTTGAAGTAACCGGAAGTAACCCTGTGAAAATTTAAAATAGCCTTTTGGGTGTAACAGTTGGCCTACATCGTGGAAACGACACAGTGCTTAGTATAATGCTTGATTTGAAACTATGAATTTTCTTGGATGCTGCATGTTCTAACTTAAAACAATTTTCTGACCGGAAAAAAAGAGTCGGCCTTCTGACGGAGTAGTTTCTCTAGAATCAAATAAAAACCATTTAACCATGGGAAGGCAACATCAGAGAAGTTTGACCATAAACAATGACAAAGACCACCTTGAATGTCTTCATGCAGCATGATCTGTTATAAAACATACTATAGTGTAATTTGGTGTACCGGATGGACCATACTTTATCTCTATTATACTCCACTATTACTATGATATATAGAGGATTTAAACCACCATTTCTACATCAACTCTCTAATCTTATCCATTATTTCTTCATGCTTCATCTAATCTGTACTTACTCACTGTTTCTTGTTACCATAGTAACGTCTCGACCAATCATATCACTCTATACTCCCATCTCGAGATGACGTATAATTTACTGGAACCGCCCCGTAACCAATGAGGTCATGGCAACTGGGAATTCAACAGGGCTGATATGTTACATGTGGCTTTTTTCATAAACCATGAAATTATTTGACTAAATTTTATTATAAATTTAATGATAATTCCCCAGAGGTCATGAAGAAATTAGAAGCCAAATTTGTATTAATATTAATTTTTTTGCTGTCTTTGACCTAAACTTTGTTTTGTACACAGGCGTAGGCCTATGTCTATAAGACATTTTACTCAGTTTGCAATTTGCAGCTTTGCAATTTCTTATATACAAATATTTTTTGGATCAAACTTTTGTACTCTTGATGTTTTAGGGTTTTTGTTCTTCTACTGGAAACTTTCAACTGATATAGGCCTATTTTTGCGTACTTTACATGGAACCGTGTAACAGAAATTGATAAAATTTAAAGAAGAAAACATTGGCCTAATCCAGACTTGTGTTCCCAAAGTGTTTTACGCACGAGTGGGTGATTGACAAGCAACGCAAGATTCGGTTTTCATCTCGCAGACGACGACGAAGAAAGTGAGACGTCACCTGTTATCATTTATCTTTCGAAAACTTGTAATGCCGCCATTCTAGGCGTGTTCACGTGACCTATAATCTCGCGAGAATACTAATTACCACGAGAGATGAAAGGAAGGCTGACCTGTGAGGGCTGTATTTGTTGTTTAAATGGTATTTTTATGAGTTAAATGTAACTGATAGGAAAGAGAGGTTGATAGAAGATAAACAATATTAAATGATAAATTCACTATTAGTTAACAATTAGTTAAAGTCTTAATTACTTCCTTGTGAAGTTTGGAGACATAAATGAAAACGGTCTCAGATAAATCAACCAAGCCCTTTTGAATGAAGAGGAGGATTGGGCATCTAGTTCCCATTTTAATTTGTCCCCATATATCCCTCTTTGAATGTACAGGGTCTACTACAGTTTGTGTCCAATCGGCCAATCTGCCAGTCGATACATGTTTCAAATATCCCAAAGGGTCTCGGTGGCTCATTGGGTGAAGCGATTGCCAACTAACCTAAAGGTCTATATTTGAAACTTGCTTAATGTTGCTGTCCCGGCAAAAGTTCCCCCATTGCACACTGCGTTTCATTTTTCGTTGTCATTGTGGAGAGCCTATTAGTGGCGGCAGTATAGGGGTACAGATTACAATTACAGGTTTCGGTCTCGGACATTCTACAAAGCTCCCCCCCCCCCCCCTCCCCCCCCCCTTTACCATTAAATCAGTATTCCGCAGTAGCAGTTGATTGGCACTGCCTTTGGAGCATGTCTACTACGTGGCAACAAACTGTATTTGCCAATTATGTGAAATTATCTAATACGACCCATAAACCTCATTAATGTTAGAATTCTTTTAAAAAAATATTTTGATGAATTGTGTGTTTGTTGAAATTTGAAACAATTCACGTGTTTTCATCCAAACATAACAATCTCAAATTATGTAGAAACATTGGTGGTTTTGGATGTTTGAAGACAAACTGAGTTCTACCATTTCAAGATTTCATTACTGTTTTGTTATATTGTTTGACATTCTAGAAACATAGAATGTTATTTCATAGTAGCGTTTTGCTGGTAATTACTTTAAATACTTTCATCCTTTTTTGACTCGATTTTCCACCAAATAATTATATCGGATTGTATCACAGAACGAAACTGAATGAAGCCGAACTTAGCCAAACGAAACAACTCGATCTTCCGAGGTACTTGTAAAAAGTAAGAAAGAGACACAGTCGTTTATATATTTTTTTTATTATTAATTATCCAAGAATGTGATATCGGTGTAGAAAAAGTATGTCAAAAAGCATGAGTTCCTTCGTGGAATTTACACAGTTCTTGTTCAAGTAGTATATTAACTCAAGCATATCTCAGAACATTTCCTTAACATTTTCAAATATGCTTAGGAAGGCATATCACTTGCTTTTTACTTAATCATCGAAGCTTTGAATTGAATTAGGTTTAATTTGATCCAGAAAACTTTTTTGTTAAACATATACTTGAAACCATAGGCCTGAAACCCACTCTCAAATCCTTTAGATATTTGTGGATAGATTTTTTTAAAGTTGTGTTGATTGAAATATTGATTTTATTACACGATCTTTTCGTCACTCTGTTAGCAGTTAATTCAATATTATATTGCAACAATAACAACACGACGTATTTCATTCTTATCAGTTAATAATAAATTGTAGAGATTCATAAGGATCCTTTCTACAAGCTGAAGTCATGTAGAGATTCTTACACTCTGACTGCTTGGCTACAGTCTGTCCTCAATTACTGTTGAACATGCATTTGTGGAAGGACTATAATTGAAGGAAAAAGCCGACTTTTAAGCTAGTTTCCACTGGGCAAAACCGATAACCCCTCTTTTTGCGTTCAGCAATTTATCGGGTACCAAATGTAAGTTAGCTGAAAGCTATCTTTGGTACAAAACAAGACACAGAATAATTTATTTTTTATTTAGTGATTGTTGTAATATTGTCCTAATTTATTTAAAGAGGCAGATTCTCCATTTAATAAATCCCAGTGGGAATATTTATTAGCCCTCTCTCTGGTACAAAACCAGGCATATCTTTCAACATACGGTGAGCTCTCTAGTCTGGGTATGATTTGCTTCATAAAGTTGAGATCTTGGTCAGCGTTAGAAGCATGAATACAGGCGAATTCTGTTAACCAGATCTTTTTGTTGTATTTATGGTAAAATTTATTTATCATGTCCATGATTTGGTTTGGTTGACAATTGTACGAATGTAAGGCTAATCTGTCCACTCGACAGTTATGACAGGCTTTGAAGAATCGATCAAACCAATGATAGCAGGAATTGGGGAAATTATCGCAACTTGTTGGAGCTGGTGATACTAGAATCTTTCCATGTGCCTTCTGTTCGATCTGTGGCCAGAGCTCAGCAGCTCGTTCCGGGGATAACTTGAAATGACCGTTGGTGTATACGTTTGGTTCGTTGAAGCCCAGGATATGTTTAGCATTGGATGGTGGGTTGAAAGAATGTACGTCAGATTCGTGGGTACACATTGGTACATATTCCCCTCTCACTCGTTTAGCACAATGATACATGGTGTCTTTGTTAAAATTATCATGCCAGTTGTACCTATAGGAATAAATCAAATCTGATATAACAAACAACTAAATCTAAATGAAATCAATGAGGATATCAGAAGAATACGATCTATACCATCCATCCCTTTATAGGCTTAATGGTATAAAAAAAATGGCAAATAATATACTAAAATTGATGTCAGTGCCTCTAAGGAGTAGCCTACACTGGAACCTTCATTTTATAAGAGCTATCAAGGTATATTTGTGGTTATATGCATGGTTTGCAGGGAGCAGTACATGTATATTCAAGGATAACTGATTGATCCTGAAATCGACAGAGTTGACCTTTAAGCCTTGCTTTTTCTACATGTTATAACATTTAGTGGAGTTACCAACAGGAATATAAAACCGCGAAAGAAATATTCAGTTTTGTAATTTAATAAGATTTGGACTGTATTTTGTACTTACCACCATGTGGAAGAAGACAAAGCATGAGTATCACCACATTTATATCTAGCTCCACACAATCCAAAACCCTTTTTAGGACTTCCGGTAACAGCAGAAACCACCAACAGTACCACAACCACAATTCTGAGCATGATTGCTCCAATTGAGTTCTAGCAGTTTAAAGGATTTGTTCTTAAGATTTATTCAATCTGATTTTGACTTAGCGTTTTATAGTTTTTCTAAAAAAAAGTAGATCAAGGTTATAGTTGAGGTCAGCGAGATTTGAGATTGGAACATCTGTACCTATCACAACCTTGACTTTTATTAAGCAGAAAAATATAGATTAGAATAGCCTAACCTTTTAATAACAATAAGGGGCGTTTCCCTGAATCATTGCGTTAGGGAGCGAGTTGGGGAAACAGAATGCCAAGGACTCACGTAAAATGATAAGAAACTTGAAAGTAAGGGAGGGGGGGGGGGGGGCCTTTACAACCTATTTATATATAAATAGATACGGTCCAGTATTGGGTTGGTGTTAAATCCCAACCACTCAAACACGCCGACGAGCCTAATCGGAAGTTAAAATTCAACGGATCGCAATTGCTGACTACAACCGGTCAAGCGGGAGTTAACCAGGAACAATTATTTATCATATATTTCCATAAAAAGGGTGGAATTGGGTCTATTGACTGGGGAGGAGGGGGGAGGAGGGGGAGGTAGAGGGGGGTTATGAATGAGGACAATTTCAAATTGTTGTTGGTTTGTATTTGTTATGACAAAATCTTTTCTACAAGACGCAGTATTCTGGGTACAAAGATATAAATTAAAAACTAATTTACATATTTGAAAATCTTCACGTTCTTGGATAAAAATATGAATATGAACTGACGGTATTAGTAATAATATTTTATGTGATATGACATACTCGATCTTATCAAAGTGGTTAAAATTCTTTATATACAAAACTCTTGTCACTTTCAGTGTGTGGAAATTTAGATCGGCATTGTTTCTTTATTTCTATAATCCTTTGATTGATATTTGTGTAAAATTTTTCCATCAATATAAATTTCAATTGTCATATATAATTTTACACAATAAAATATTTTCACTGTTGAAACAGTGCTCAATACATCAATTGTAGAGTGATATAGAAATACCACTGTTAAAATAGTGCTCAATGCATCAATTGTAGAGTAATATAGAAATATCTCTGTAAAAATAGTGCTCAATACATCAATTATAGAGCAAAATAGAAATATCTCTGTTAAAATAGAGCCCAATACATCAACAGTAGAGTGATAGGGCCTATAGAAATACCACTATTAAAATAGTGCTCAATACATCAATATTTGTATATAGCTTCAAATCGGCATTGTTTATCTACTTCCACAATCATATGAAACGTATTTGAATGTTGTTAATTAAACCTTCTGATTGGTCAATTCCGTATAAATCAATAACCAATGGTTGTTCTGAAATATGTAGTTTTCTTTTTTTAAATTATGATCTTTCCATTAAATTGCATTAATTTTGTTGAAGACAACGTTGAAACCGAAAACCGAATATAGAATAACAAGTGAAGTAAATAAAGAATATGATTTCTTTCCAATCGTAGTTTGACAAGACAATATGTTAACTCTGTGTATAGAGTGCATGGAACCTTTTATTAATTCGTGGTTCACTAATGTTGACATTCTGATTACAATGTAGATCAGGAAGTTTCTGTCCTTGTTTTCTAACAACAAAATCAAAAACATTGAAAAATTTTTATTTGGGTTATGATAGCCTACTATAGTCTGATAAATTAGCTTAATTCTATTCACATTCAGGATTAATTTGGTTCTAACAAGTACTACATACATCAATATTTATCGGATGGACCAAGTTAATATTAAAAACGTTCATGGTTCATTGACACAATATCAATTGCTGTAGAACGCTATAACTTCAATACAATCAATTATAACTTATAATAAAATTAAACTATTTTCGATGTGATGTTAGGATGAAGTCGAATGAATCTAACGCATCCTGAACGCATCACATTAAGATCTACTCCTGCATTCGATTAAAAATATATCACATTTGTATCTCTTTCAGTCAATGTATTTAATATGGTTATAGCTCTGCCTTTCATCGTGTATAATCTTCTATAGAATTACAAAATAAACCCCATGGAACCGTAATAAAGAGTGGTGTATAATTCCCAATGTTTGTTTGTTCAATACTGGATTATTGCCCCTGACTGTTTGATATTCTCATTAAGCTGATCCTTTCTCTGTAATAATCTGGGTAATTTTCAGTGAAATTTCAATCAATCTGCGGAGATTTTGAGTTTTCATTAGTGGACACAAATATAAGGATGACGGGCATAAATAAGTAACTTGCAACGTTTCGACTACGATACTCTGGTCATTATCAAACACTCACAGTACTTCTAAATTACTAATGTCCCTCAAAGAAGTCGTTTCAGGTTTCCACTTAGAGCACCCTTACATGCTGTTGGAAAAAGGATTCAGGACACATTGATATCTGTTCACTATCATCGGTCTGTGACAATGATACAGGTCCAAACGGACGGATGTTTTTTCATCAAACACTGCTCAATACCGTTCAATGATTTTTGCGAAGGAATCATTAATATTTTTATACTGAAGGGAAATTTAAGCCTATTTTGTCGGCATTTAATTTGAGGATTTCATCAAGCAAATCAACTAAATTGTGTTAATGAAAATTGTTATAATCTTTATACAGTCAGCCTAGTGAACAAAATTTTTGTCAATTTTTAAGAATAACTAATGATTTTTTTTTGAAAATCTTCCCTGGATTTCACGCGCGGAATGTTAAAGTTGGTCAAGAGAGTCAAGTCAATAAACATCTGTCCTCAGTCGGTATTCTCTTCTCTATTCTCAACTTTATCACAATTTTATCTCGAAAAAAGCAAAATGTTCGTTAAATTCACATAAATTACATACAACCTTAATGATAAAAACAGAACGGGACTCAAGTAACCATAGCGACCTACTAGTTTACCTCAGTCAGATTTTACACTTTTTTCTGTGTTTTTCCAAAATAACACGTCGCTAGTGCTTTATGATTATTCGTTTTTTTATCTACAATGGCTTATTTTAGAGCAAATCAAGCGAACAACGAGAGAAACATCGACAAAATCGTGAGCTGCTAGGGTGAAAAAATCTTATGTTGAAATGTTTTTATTTTGACGAAATGAGTGCAATTAATGCCAGCACTTTGGGATATTGAAAATTATTTTGTATTCCAATATATGCTGTGAAACTACACAGAACCTTCGACTAGATGTTCCGGCAGCATTTGAAACCCTTTTATTCTCCACATCGAACCAACTAAATTCCATTTCTTCGACCCCTTTGGCATCGTGGTGGAAATTTAGTTATGTTGGTTTACTTTCGGAAACCGTACCAGACATTACATCGGAACGTAGCGGTAGTTGCATGCATGGAAATACCCAAGTTGAAATTTGTAGAAATATAGGAATAATTTCATGGTTTATGAAAAAAGTAAGATATCAGCCCTGTTGAATTCCCAGTTGCCATGACCTCATTGGTTACGGGGCGGTTCCAGTAAATTATACGTCATCTCGAGATGGGAGTATAGAGTGATATGATTGGTCGAGACGTTACTATGGTAACAAGAAACAGTGAGTAAGTACAGATTAGATGAAGCATGAAGAAATAATGGATAAGATTAGAGAGTTGATGTAGAAATGGTGGTTTAAATCCTCTATATATCATAGTAATAGTGGAGTATAATAGAGATAAAGTATGGTCCATCCGGTACACCAAATTACACTATAGTATGTTTTATAACAGATCATGCTGCATGAAGACATTCAAGGTGGTCTTTGGCATTGTTTATGGACAAACTTCTCCGCTGGCATGGTTGCCTTCCCATCCTTACTTTCAGATAACATGTATTAAAACAGAAGATACAGCAATAAGGCGATCTGTGACATTTTGCAACTAAACTCGGTTTCAAATCAACCAAGACAGTAAGCACTAAGATGTTTCTAGAACGTAAGCCTACTGATGTAAGCTTCAAATAGCCTGAACTTTCCGAGGTTACTTCCGGTTACTTTCAACATGATGACGTGAAGGCACTCAGAACAGAAAAGCATAGAATGGCATTGAATGGGTGAACCTTTCATTAATCCATACACTCGTGGAGACAATAGTATTCACCAAAGATTTCATTACTCCAGTTCCTAGTCTTTCTGTCGTCTCCAACTATTATTTGTAAAAACTGAGGTCGACAAATGAGAAAGTAAGTTGTGATATTAAAATGAATCTGACACAAGACTGACTACCTACTGTGATAATTTCTATCATTCTGTTATATTCATCTAGTAACCAGGCGAGCAATCAAACTTAACCTCCCGTTTGGCGCCAAATTTTTCTTCACGATCCAATTCAGCTGTTTTTATCCTTGATTACCTTGACTCCGGGGACTCGTCATAATTCTACTTTATGTATCAAATTCATTTTTTTTGACTAGAGATATTAGGTCAGCTCTTTTCCATATAGCCGCATAATTTTGACATAGAAGGCACTTCCGACTGAGTTTCATTTACCAGAACCGAGGAGGTGATAGTGGCTATAGTCCTTGTTCTCAATGCATCAAAACATTCAGAAAACGTAAAAAGTGTTGGGGTATTTTTAATTATGGTATGAACCAATATATCCTATGGAATTTCTTTATTCAAACGATATCTAAAATATGTCAACAGAAATGTAAGAATCTCCTTTCCTTTTGTAAAAAAAAAACCCAGTTTATACTGTGTAATCCAACAACCTAGTAGAGGAACAACCAATTCAGCCCGGCACTCTAAAATCTTGAATAAGTTTACAACATTGGACATAAAACTGAAACTTGGCTTCTGGTCAGAACTGACGTCTACTAGAGAAGTCAAAAGTGTTACAATCCCTACTCAGTTCCATTCTTAAATCCTTAATTTTATTGCAATAATGTACGTAACACTGGAACTTACTGACTGTGAAGTGTTTCGGACGAACCCCTGAACCTTGCTACCCTACAAACCTCGTCAGATCCGACGTCTACTTAGAAAGTCTATATTACCACCCCTTCTTTCTGAATTTTGATTCACCTAATGATGATAAATACTCGTCAGTAATTACTGAATAATTTCTCAATTTAACTGAAATTCCACCTGTAAACTTACAATTCATTCATTTGTCAAATTTCTGTCAAGAGAAGAATGTTCTCGGTGTCAATAAGAAAGTTGATGAATTTATTTTCTAAGATTGATGAAGTTAAAGATTGAAATGGTCAGGTGTAGAGAAGTTTGAAAGTTTTTATTGGAAGATTTATTTAACATGTCTTGTAGATAATTTATCATTATAGATAGATAGAATTTACCAGTTTCACAATATTCATACAAAAACACATATAGATATAATTTCACTCGTTACATTTAGAATATTCAAAAATAAGAAAAAAAGAAAACACATATACATACAAAATATACCAATTACCATCAAAATATTGAAACGATAATACATTTTGTATAATTATAAGAACATTTCGGATATAAATTAACCAGTACACATTAGATACTCGAAAAGATCGTATACAAATTAATTAGATTTCGAATTTCCATTAAAAAAACACGTTTTATATAAATATAAGAACACATCTAGATATAAGAAAGACGATATGAAAATAATAACAGATATACGTACAAAACAAAACACATTTTTCCTCGAGAAAGAAATATCATTTTTAGAAAGATAGTAGAAATCGAAAATCTACTATTCGATAAATCAATTACTCGAAAATATCATTCTGGAGTAAGACAAGGTGACGCCATTGGTCCTTTTCTACTCAATATTGTTATTGATAATTTTTTTATTTGCTACAAAAAGGGTAAGGTGGCTGTTATAGTCAAGTTATAAGACGAATCCCGTAATATCTTGATTGTGAAGATGGGATTTATCTATGACTTTGAATACTATAAAACTAGAAATTTTCCGTTTGAGGACTTCAACAATTTAATACAATAAATAACAACTTAATTCAGATTTTATCAGAATTTCTTTGAATCTCGTAAAATCTTTTTCTCCGTTCTTTTAAGACAAGTTTACGAGGAGAGTTTGTCTTGTTGATTTCAAACTTCAATCGTTTATCAGACACAGAACTTTCTTAGATAAAATCAGAGAAATAAATTCTGGAGAAAAAATATAAAAGTTTGAAGAAAATAAATATGTTTATAAAAGTGAAATGAATCTGTCAACAAACTACTCCAATATACCGACATATGTTCTACTTCTTTAACTTGATTGGAAAGCCGGCACCACAATTCTTGACAATATTCAAACACAAGATATGTTGGTGTTTTTCATCCTCAATTATAATCACTCAGGGTATGTTTAGACCTGTAGGTAAAATGGTGTATTGACTAAAGGGGCCACCACACCATGATGATAACATGTTGCGTATGGTTGTGAATAAGAATAGCGGTTATAAGATTCGAACGCAACTCTTTTGCAACTGAGTCGTGAGTTGCGTGCGACGTGCCACTATTATTATTCCCAACCATGGGCAACTGATAATCGCTATGGCGTGAGGGTCCCTTTAATCTGATTTGTCTTACCAAGATACAACACTCAGTGTTAATTAATTTCAACAGAGTTCAGATTGAACCAGAAATAAAAACAAACTTCTGTAAGATATATTAACATTTTCAACATAGAAATATTTAACTTGGGGTTCAACAAGGATGCCATTTTGCTCCGTGCTTTTTCATCGTATGAACAAATGACAATAAGTTGGTTGAAACCTTTATAGGGCGATAGATTTGTGAATTGAATATTTCCACGGGATTCGTCAAGGATTATATTTTACCTCGAGCTTCTGCTATGTGTGAACTTTTTAAAAATCACCCCTAAGCAACCAAATTAATGTTACATGATGTGTTTTTGTTTTCCATTATAATGTGTCAACGTTTTTTCATTATACTCTGTAGTAAAAATATTTTAAGAATAATAATGTAAATTCTGAGAGAGAGAAATGTTAAAATAATGCCAGTCAATGGAGTAAAACGGACCATGAAAAACAGTAATGTCTCCATTTACTAGTAAATATCTTCTTGTTTTAGCTTACAAAACATATTTTGATGTAAACAAATAGCTTTCTATATGGGAACTGTTCGCTGATGTAAACAAAACAGAGGGTTCATTGGCTACCAAAATAACATACAAATACAGAACTAGTAATATCTATAGTTTGTCCAGCCTTCATTACATTTTTACAAAAGTATGTAATATTCAATGTTCGATTATCATTTATTGGGAATACTTTATTGAAAAAAAGATACCCTCGAACACTTGGAAAATCAAAGACAGAATTATTAGAATTACTATGTAAAATTCTGGAAAAAATTCCAATATGCACATGCTTTTAGAACTATTGTAACACACTATAATATAAGTAATATCTCGAGGGGAAATTGTTTAGTTGTATAAATGGAATTGGTTGGTTGTCGGAATATTTTCAGGGGTCCGGGGGGTGGGGTCCATTTTGTCCCCCTGTAGCTACGGGCCTAATTATAAATATAGCTTGACATTGTGAAGATAGGTCGTGTTTAATTTTCAATACTCAGTGAAAACTAATGAATTCAGCTGAACATGTGTCATTCAAGGTTTGTTAACCTGAGTTCAACCAAAACCAATTAAAATTCATTACGTGTTAATTGTCTTCATGACATTACATATTCATTATATTACTGTAAACCGCAATGTTCTCACCTGCTCATGTCGTATTTGGTAAAGGCCTTTGGAAACCGCGGTGGGTGGCTCAGTGAGTTCTACGCTTGCTCGTGAAACTATAGGTCCAGGGTTCGCTTCTGCGGCCTCAGAACAACTTGTCTTGCATCCTTTTTTTTTTCAAAGTGATACTCCTTCCATGATTTTGCTAACATAAATACAGACATTCGTGTTTCATTTTTTATTAAAATTAAATTATGGAAGAAACGTTTCTGTAACCAGATTTTTTTCGGAACTGGTGAATTTTAGCAAAGTATCCCAGCTCGAGCATGACCAGACAAAACAGTCGTCAAATTGATATCGAGAAGAATTTTTGATGAAATTATTATTATTATTGGAAGGTTGACTTCATTTTGAACTCATTAACCAGTGCAGTAATGAAATTATATATCAAACTGTACTGATATTACTGTGAGTTAAACCTCGAGTAATTATAAATATTATATTTGAGATATTATTAATATTTTCTTATATTATAGATAGAAAATTAAAGAAAACCCACGTGTACTATAATAACGATCCGAACAGCCTATTAAAATAAAAAAAATTACTTTATCAATGTCATATTAATAATATTAAAAGCCTATTATAAATATTAGAAATATTAAAACAGAACCTGAATCATGTTGTTACTCAGAGTTTCACGTTATGGGATCTTCAGACATCTCACCAATTTCAGCCTGCGTCCCTATCGGGGTTTGGCAAATAGTATATATTTCCATGTCTGCACTTCTTGTAAATAATATATTAATAATATTAAAAATATAAAATTTAAGAAAACGCAAGTTTTAACGATCCATAATCCGAAATCCAGTTTATCACTACATTGGAAGCAGCAAATGAACAAAATATAAGAAAAATGCCCAAAATTATAATTAGAAGTGGCCTATCGGTTGCATGATTGTATGTGGCTGGTACATTAGGCTAATAGGTTAATTCCTATAGGTCTAAATAAACTTTGTGTGCGTTTTGATTAAAGTTGCAATCGTGATAAGGGAGATAACTACATTTTCCAGTACACAAACAAAAATCCTTCAATCAAGCATAAAATTAAGAATTAGACATTAGGTTTGTAAAAAGTTACTCATCATATCGATAAGATCAATCTTTTAAGAGGTCCTATAACTTTGATACGAGAAAAAAAAGTTAGCCTACGCTTTTTTTTTAATTTCAGTATAGCTTTAATGTCAATGAAATACTGGATAATCGAATAGTTATTGTGGGTTATCTTCCCTTTTCTATAGCAGACAGAAAATCAATTTTATTTCCTATTCACTTCACATTTCTCAATAAAATGGAAAGCCAGGAAAGCGAACAGAGCTTGAGTTTTCAAGAAAAACTGGATCTTATTGACAATGAACTCCATAAGTTACATATGTTTTGTGTGAAATCGGGATACAGCCCCGATCAGATACAAAAATTCACTGAACCTTTCAATGAAAAATTGAGAGAAGTCAGTCGTACAAAATGGAAAAAGAGATTGATAAGTGCCCTCTTGTTTGTTGCGATGTCGTATGTTTTATTTCAATTTGACCCTGTCGAAAAGTTTGTGTCAACTGTTGGAAGAAGGGCTGCTATACACGTAAGTTATGGTGATTTGATACAGTGACAGTGGAATAGCTCTGTTAGTAGCACGTTGGATTGTCGTCTTCTAGGCAATTAGGTGGCATGGGTTTGAATCCTCCTCAAGATTAAAGAAAAATTCTGACACCTTTGCCAGTGCATCCAATAGTGGGCCCAGTGTCGGCTTTTACCCCCTAACAAATCAGAAGCTTTTTGTCAGATGGCTAACCCTTATCTAGTATCTATCTTATGATTATGGTTTAAACATATTGCTAGTCTAAGGCAACTTCATGTCTCTATTATACTTGCATTAATGCTGTATGCTTCAACTAAGTTTTCATTTCTTTTCAGATTTTACCAATATTTGACTGGACAAAGTTCTATGAGTCGAATTGTTTGGTGTCAAATCCATTACATGAAAGTCAATCAGAGCTGAAATTGGAAGACTGCAATGTAAGTAGGCAACCTTGTAAATCAAATAGTCTGTTAGTGTCCTCCTCATATCAACTATCACCTTCACATTAAGTGAAAGGTGCCTCTGCATTCAGAAAGCTATTAATGATGGTATGACGAATTCACACTTGTACAACTAGCCCCTGAAGAGGCCAAGGCAGTTTGGAAGTGCACATCAGATCAAAGATGTTCTAAAAGAAAGTTCTTCCGTTCATACTTAATTTAATGATATTCAGATTAAGCACGTTTAAATTATGGTAATTTTGTAAAATAGTAGATGGAATCAAATTCAGTTTGATTTACGATAATTTTGTAAAAATTTCTTTCTTTCTTTATTTTAAAACAGATCTGTGAAAGTGTGAACAAGATTGAAAGAATAAAAGATATAACAGAAGCGAAGTTAGTAAATAAATACCTAAAACAAGATAGACCAGTTATAGTTCAAGATGGTTTAAAACAAAATGATATCAGTAAATTTACTGTGGATTTTCTAACCAAGGTGGGTGCATATCTTCATGTGTTTAGCTTAATTTAATAATTTGTATGTGATAATTTGAAATCTTTGCATGTTTATATATATGTTGTGTTCAGACTGGCTCTGCCAACAGCTTGTTTAGTGCTCATTGTGAACCCATTGTTGTGATTTGTGATTGTTTATGCCTTGTGATACCTAAGGTTTCTGTCAATTTTGTTGAAGTTTAAACAGTAAGATAATTGAGAAAAGGGTACCAGTACCAGTTCTTTTTGATCTGTATATTTCTTATCCTTTTAAATAACAATTAAGCCATGTTTTTTTTTTAGATATTTGAAGACAGTATGTTTGAAGGTTGTGAATTTACCAGTAATGTAAAAGTTGGAGGTCATAGGTCCTTCTTGAAACAGGTCAATGCTGGCGAACATGAACATTATTTTGCCTACTGGTAAGTTTTATACATTTCATATCACAATCTCAATAAAATATGAATATGGATGTTTTGTTTTTCATCTGTTAGTGACTCCACTTGCCATCCGTGATCTGACAATCTCCTGTTCTGTGTCAAGTAATATTCAACCAATCAAATACTTTCTTGAATTAAAGATTTCCTTACTATATTTAAGGAAGTGTTAGAAACATTGACTTGTATTATAAGCCGAATTTCAGCAGTTTTCTTCATTGGACAGATTTGTTTAGATGAATTATAACTGTTGGTGCTATCAGGTCAAAATTCCAGAGGACACTATTGGAAATATTTAGTACCGACCTGAAACTATATTATAAAGTAGATGCTGACTAACAAATAATAGTTCTCTAATTCTGCTTTTTTTAGGAGAAATTGTTTTGAAGAGCCTGCTAAAGAATTTAGATTTTATTTTAAAAAACCTTATTTCTTTTCCTCTGTGGTGGAATTGATAGATACCAATTGGGTTTATATAGCTAAAAATTACACAGCCAAATCATCAAAACCTGTAAGTAATATAGTTTGTTTAGAAAACATCACCAAGCATTGTCTTAAAAAGAGGTTAATATTTAACCAAGATTAGAACTTGCAATCACCATTTGATTGACATAACCAAGCAAACAACTACATTTAAAGTTTCCAATTCTCTAACTGATTGTGCCTTAGAAACAGTGGCATAATATTTTAAGTGAAAATTAAGCCCTCAAAATGTGCAAAATTCATCCCAGGCCAACTGAAAGGTTGGCTTCTGGGGCCCTCGAGCAGCCTCATGGGGCATTGGCCGTTTAGACTTACATTTTTGCCCCAATAACCCCCCGCCATCCCCTTCCCTTCAGACTTTTTCTAGGTACGCTCCTGTACAGAATCCCAGAGCATATTTACTGCAATCTTCTATCCAATATATTATAAATTTCTGGTTTTATTTTTGCAAGATATTAATAGAAGGGCCAGTGATTATGTTAATGCAGATGAAGGGAAGTGTAGATATAGTGTTAATACCTGATAAATTATGTTCTGATATCTGCTCTGAAGTCACACAGACTTTACATGAAGGAGAAATTTGTAAGTTGTAATTTTGTCTTCTCATAAAGAGGGTATTGTACAGCATATTGACTTTGTCCTGATGAGGATTGAATACCCAAAACATGTGTATCTTCAGCATGAGACAAGTTCTAGTCAATTTGATTAACAATTTCAATTGAAACGTCTATATATTCTGCTTTTAATATGGTTGTTCATCCATATTGTGTGAATCCTGGTTTGCCATTTAGATTGATTGGATGTCTGACTTGTTTAAAACTAATTTGCTCGCATAATAAAATCAATCAATAGAACCTGCTGCTATGGGCATATGTTACCTTATCTTCTTAAATTTACATGTTAAGAGATATACATGTGTACAGTGTACATGCTAAGAGTGCTTAGTAAGTTTGGTATAGAAAGAGAATAAGTGAGGTATGGCCTGGCAAGGTTCCCTCATTGTGTACTGCATGATGTTGACTGTGTTTAAAGTAAAGTACAATAGCGATAATAGAACATGAGAATTAACAAGGAATTTAGAAATGTGACAATTTAGCTACTAGACAGCCATTAAATTATCATCTGAGAAATGTTATTAAACGCTTCAGTGAATTCTAACAAGGGCAATAACTCTGTTGGACAGGACATATTGATTTAACGTCAAACCATTATGAAGATTGACATAATCTAATATCAATTTATATTGATCACTATTGATTTCTTGTTTCTAAATAGATAAAAACCTGTCACTTTTAAATTGGCTGAGAAACGAGAAAATTGAATTGCCAATTAAATATCCAGCCTACACGATATCACTGAGTTTAGGACAATCTGAAACTAACACTTTTTGTATTCACTGCATTTGTAACAAAAGAAATGGAATTTTGTTGGTTTTGTGAATAAAATTGACTAACAATTCCGGTCCAATTTTCAGTCTGACTTCTGTGGTTCCGGCTATCAAAACAATTTTATGACTAGATGATAACTTCACTATTCGTTATTCTTATTTGTTAATTTGAAAGTGATGTCATATTTTGTCAAGGTTTTCTAGAATAAAAAGATCCACAATCATCAATCGGGATATCAGATTAATGCAAAGGGAAAGTACCCAATACTCATACAAAGACAAAATAGAAATCCTCTTTAAATCTAACTATTATCTATTTCAGTATTATTAACAGATTTTCTATGGTTGATAGATTATTACCCTAGAGGTACTGGTGAAAGCATTGGTATTGGTGTAACAGCTAGTTTTGACTGATTCTTGAACAAAGAGCACCTTCTAATACCTTGACATCATTAAACACTTTTCTCATTTCAAAAAGGTTTTTTAAATTTTAATATTTTTTATGAAATCCTGCTTTCTAAATCTTGGCAATCTTTTCTAATCTTATACGGTAATTTATAGAATATTTTAGAGTTATTTTACGATGGTATATTTGTGGTTGTGATGTTTTTGTTTTATTATAAATATTTGTTATTTATTGTATATTGTAAAAATAATCTAAATGTCAGTGTTCTTTAATAAATCTATATACTTAAATTAAACCTGGCTCACTTTCATCCACAGAGTAAGGCAAATAGTCAGTGAAAATCAAGGTACATTTCGATATAGGGTACAAGTCAATGTTTCCTTGCTTGAGAAAGACCCATCAGCCAGAGTTTCTTTGCCAAGTAATTTGATATATGATATGATGTCACTGGATCATTTCACATTTTTGGATTGTAACAAACTTTTTTCTCAAAAGACATATTTGAAAAATATATAATATACAATAATTGCCAACTTGATAATAATTAATTATAATTAATAATATTGAATTGTGTAATATTTGTAGCCATGGATTGGGAAGCTAATAAGGAGGGCCTACAGAATGCAAGAATCAATATTAGAAAACACATCAGAAACAGTGCCTTTCCTCTTCAATTTGTGATATGAAAATAATTAACCACCTCGATTTGCAAAATTACCCACCTGGAAAGTTTGTATAGAGATGATTTGGCACTGTTCAGTTGATGAATAAGTCATACCAGTGTCAGCCCATCAAAACTGTATAAGAGACCACAAGAAGTATTGCTTTTGTTGCGACTTTCTGTTGGTTTGGAAGTATTATGAGTAGGGTTCGAGTTCATGATTACATTCAAGGTTAATAAGATTGTTCAAATTGATCAGAATGGAATTACTAAACCTAAGCCGATATCAGAATGGGTAAACTGAAATATAAGTGGCTGGAAATGTCATTAGCCAATCGGTACGTAGCATTTATCAACTGAATTGAAAATCATTCAGTTTGACACTGATTGGTGATAATTGGTTTAATCAGTCGGCACATTCTGAACCACAGAGTCGCGGTTTGTTCCGAACTACTCGTCTCCATTTTGATAAAATGAGCGATTTTGGCAAAAAATATATTGAGAAAGAATCCAGAATTTTTATGGCTTATTCTTCAGTTAATTGCCCGTACGCTCAGGAAGAACCGCACAGTAGGCCTAATTGCGGGTAGTAGTTCGTGATTTCCGACCCGAAATGTTCGATACGACTGCCAAGATATGCGAGAGACGCTTTTTGAACCAATTTCCTACAAAGTCATGACTTGTACATTCGAAGAGCATAGCTTGGGTTCTAAATGTTAGTAGTTTCAACCAGGGCATTTTTAATTAGCTGTCTTAACTTTGAAATATTCCGTATGTCCTCTTTCTCCTCGAGTTTATATCGTTGTCTGAAAGGCTATGTGGGTCTGAGGGCTGTAATCAGTGGCTCAAGAATCATAGGGACTGTTTGAACCAAATACACGCCCCCACCCCACCCAGAAAAATGCAGGAGAATCAATTTAGCTCAGCGGCTAAACATTTCACACTTATTAACACCTTGCATTGTGGAACGTTGCCATATAATTGAATCGGGCCGAAGTCTGTCAAGAATCTTAATATCTTTTAGAATTTCACGTTAGCTTTAAGGATTCTCAAACATAGTTAATGGGAGATAACTCTGTTATAGTTTACGTCTTGACAATCGAAAGTAAAGTTGTTTCCGGGCGCAATGGTAAATAGCGCGAAATATCAACAAGTTTTCATCACAATAAAAATAATAAAATTTAATCTGAAGATAAATTTTTGCAATGGTAGGCATTGAAGTGGAGAATGAGGTTAGTTTTGCATTTTTTCGTGTTGCATTAATGCACAGGGATGATCCTTTTGTCCGATTTTGAGTTCTTACTTATAAACTTCTTTGATTCCTTAATAAACCTAACAACTGCCTTGATGAACTGGACTAGGTACATGAGCTTCCATAATGTGGATTTCTTTCATATTGAATTAACCTCTAAACAAAAAAAATAAAAATTTGGTAAGCAAGAGAAAATTTTGCTCAATAAGTTATAAGTATAGAGCCTAGTGATGTCAATGAGGTTGAATCAGAAACATTTCTGAAATCCTATTAGACCTATTTGGCTTTTTTTTCAGTCAGAAGAAGTCGGTAGTTTAAAAGAGGAGAAGGTTTTGGATGCGAATGAGAAATCGGATTCGGGAATGGATGACGATTCGGTTAAAACTGACAGCCCTGAAAAGATAGACATGGGTAAGTTGTCTGCAATATTGGTCTGAGTTGTCTTGTATATCAGATCTGAACTTTGCTTCTGGTATGATTAAAGAGAATTGTTCTGATAATAAGGACAATTGGAATATACATATTTAATTCTCTGATGTATTGAGCACTATTGTTACAGTGAAATTTTTTGTTATTGTAAATTTCTTTTGTATTAATCTGCATTTCGTATTTTTTTTTAATAGATTCTGAAAGTGAAGATGAAATTATTGTTACTAAAAAACAGAAAAGGAAGGTATGTTGTTGATACTTTATTGTCATATTTGCAAACATTCAACTAGATCATTGAATCACGTAATAACCTAACCATGTACATTTAATATAAAGGGACTTCATAATCTTTAGAGTAAATAAGACCTAATTTGTTTAAAAAAAAAATTTCAACAAATATTATGTACATTTCGACTCAAATATTGAGTTGATGAGTGTCTGGTAGATTACATCAACATATGATATGCCAGACAACTGAATGAGTATTTTGTAAGTCTATCAGTTAACATTAAATGAATGCTTAATGCAAATTTTTTGTTTTGTTCAGGTAATATTGGAAGACAGTGATGAAGACGAGGAAGATTCAGAGAGTAAAAAGGAAGATGATGTTGAAAAGCCAGTTGAGGAAAAGTTTATTAAGAATAAGGTAGATAGACTATATGCCTTGGATTAACAATGGATCAATTTTTGAATTAATCCTTAGGTGATACTTAATTATTACATTATTACATTAATTAACGGAATACTACATTATGGTATAAGCTTACTACTCCTGAGTTTTATATATTTGAATGGGAAGGAGTTTGAAGGAGAACCTTTTGTTTCTCAATCTGATAAAATGCAGATGAATTCCAGTCAATTTTTTCTCTGTGGTGTACTTGTAGAAAAAACATGAAAGAAAAATATATAAAATTGCTGTTAACCTGAAACCAATGATTTTTTCCCTAGACATTTTCTCTGTGCCTGAATTTCTTATTTATGTTTCCCCCTTATATCTCTTTTATAGAGTGCTGAAGATGTCCTTGAAGAGGTAATGAATGAAGATGAAAATTCAGAGAAAGAATCAGGTACAGTTCTTAAGAATCTTTAGATTTCTGTTTTTAAAAATATTTTACTGAATGGAGAGATTTTAGAACAAGTTTTTAACCTGTGCAGTTCTTTGGAATATTAAAATTTCTTTTCAGAAACAGTATTTTTATTCAAAAATTGAAGCAAATCTTGCAAGAATTTTATGGTTCTAGAGTACTTAACAGTATTGAAGATAAATCATTAATTTTCAATTTTCTTGAATTTTTAGATAATGAGAAAGCAGAGAGTAATTCTGAGAGTCAAGATACCAACATATTACAACCACCTGTAGGTGTACATATATTTCTTATAATAATCCCTTTCAATCTAAAGATAAGAGCTCATTACATGCTGTAGACTTAAAAAAAATGGTGATTAGATTAAAAAAATTAGAATGGAAGGTAGATAGGGAAATTAAGATGAGGATTGTTTGTAAGCCGGTATCTATCTTCAACTTTGAGTAGAAATTGAAATCTGCCTACTATTTTAAGTGATAGATCTGCAATTAACTCTTCCTATCCTGTCGTAAGAACTGAATTAATTTGCTCTGTTATTTTTCAGAAACCTATGTTTGGTGATAGTGATATATATGACGCTGAAGAGAGTAGTGATGATGAACAGGAGACGGAGAAGAAAAAGTCCAGTGATAATAATAATAATAGTAGTGACAGTGACAGCAATGGTAAATTTCTGTAATTTCTTATAGTTTTAGGTGTCATGGTTACCTTTTAAATGATCAGTGAAATTTGTTAAAAGTGACACCCTTACTTTTATTTCTTGAGTTTATAGCCTCGTCAATACCTTACTGCACTGCTAATAGCTTGCTATGGATAACTGGAAATTGGCTGAAAGCATTTTCTTCAAATTTGCGACTTAGTAGATTTTCTAGTCACCATGGTTTCCATCTGAGGGTATTAATCTTGAGGTCTTGGCAAAAAGGTTGAAATGGTTTTAGGGGTTTGATTTCTGTTAATCATGTCAGAGGGGCTTATATCAAAATATGTTTAGTCGTTTGTGTCACGAGACTGAGGCCCTTTGTGTAACAGACTGTCCATACCAAAGATAAAGGGACAGATGCCCTTTATTGGAGGTTGATTTGAGTCTTGAATATGAATATATGTAAATAGTCTTCAGAAGTACTAGAAATGTACGAAAATTGCAAGATTCTTTCAAAAACTTTACCAACTATTTCTAGAGATGTCTTTTCTATATGGCAGTGTCTCATGAAATGACAAGTCATCATTTTAACATTCAATCACGGATAATTCTAGACACATATGGATATGAAGACTCAAAAAATGGCCTGGCATAAAAAATTCAAGTTTCTGGGACTAAGGTATGATTGGTAAAAAATTGCTGCACAGTGAAACAATGGAAAATCAAACAAAAGTAGGCCAATGCCAAGGTCCTTGTGAACTAAGCTCTAACCCAATCAAGCATGTTCCCTGAAAATTTCAACCTCAGTTACATGTGATATTTATAATTATAGAGTCTGATAGTAATGATGATGAGGGAAGGGAGGAACCGGGTGAAGATGAAGGTTTTGATGAAAGTACAATCGACCCTAAATTATTAGCTAAACTGAAAAAATTTAAGGTAAGTAGTACAGCAAATCATTCTTATTTTAGATTTCTAGCTGGTCATCTTCGTTATGCTAGCCTGTTGATTGGCTGGCTTGAAAGTCATGTGACATAATGTTTGATAGAAGGATTTACACTATTAAGGAACCTGAAATGATGCCATTGGATGATGCCATAAATCTAATATTTCCTTGAGGGTTAACTAAGTAATTTTGATATGGAGATTAACCCTTTCAATACTAGCAGCCTGTTTACCTGCCACACACTAACGCAATATATACCTGAGCAGCTTGTATACCGGTCGTCACTAAGTGACGTCATACGATTTTACTTTTATTCCATAATAATTGCCTCAGAAACGGGAATTGTTCAAGCTAAGCTAATTAGTAATAGTGTTCGCATTGATTTAGTTGAAAGAACTGTTTCTGCTTGAGCATGAGCACACTGTATGTCCTAATATAAATTTAATAAATTCAAGGCCCAAATCAACCACTGACAATGTTGATTGTTGCCCTCTAATATAATGTTTTACTTTATTTATTTACATCAGGGTGCTGGTAAGACTGCTACTAGAGAGAGTAAGCAAAGAAAAGCAAAAGATGAAGCCTTAAATATACATAGTGAATCACAAAGATTAGTCAGAGGTCAGTAAATACTATCTACAAATATATCCCTGTTTTTTGTATGCATGATATTTTCTTCTTGCGCATGAATTCATTTCACAGTGTGTTCTAATCGTGGACAGAGCATGAAAGTCTGTTGACCTTGAGTAAATCATCTCTCCTCATGTACAGATAATCTGGGAAAGATCAAGGACCAGCTGGTAGACTGGGTTCTCGTAAACTTGTAAATCTATGTTAAAATGGATTTTTTTTCTTTCATTGTCTTTAAATACTGAAAAGTAGAGTGCAGAACTCGATTACGCATGATTTACAAAATGTCTATCTATATTTCAGAATCTCATATCAATCTACCTTACCATCAACCTACACCAAAATCATTAAATGACTTCCTAGCTAGAGCCAGTAAAAAACAAGAACAGTATAAATGTCTGCGATCAGTTCGTGACACCAAGTAGGTTGAGATTTTTATCTCTTTGGAATTTTATGAGTTTTTTTTATTTGTACTAGGTCCAGGTCAGATTTCTCTGGTTCTTATAAATTAAGCTATGTATTCATGACTTCAATATCAATATCAAAGGGAAATGATTCGTTTCACCTGATGATGACAATGTAAATTGTTGAAACATGTACAATAAACCCATGAGTAGTAAATCAAAAAAATTTTGTTTTGTTATTTGATTAAAGGATTCTATATATAATATGTAAATTAGTAATCATCTTTTTACAGAAATGCCAGGGTTATCGAAGAAACTCTATCAGAAAAAAAAGAAAAATCACCAAAGAAAGTGACTCCATCACGAGAAACTAAAACCAGTTCATCAGCTGAAAAAGACAATTCAAAGAAAGATTTAAACGATGAAGCCAGTAAAACTTATTTATTTGATACTTTATGTAGTTTAAAAAACACCGAGAACGACAGTGGCGATGAATTACCAGACATTACTCCTCGCGATTTAAACAAAGATTTTTCAAATTCGGAAAAAGGTGATGATGACACTGAGATCAAGTCTGCAGAGAAAGTTAGTGCTAAAAGTTCTGAAGATTCACAAATGGACACGGAATCAAATTTGGAAACAGAAATGTGTAAGTCTAGTGATCAAGGTGCTAAAGTGGAGAATGATGTGGAATTTTCATCAAAGTGTTTAAATGATGATAGTGACAGTAATTCTGAAAAGTGTTCAAACAACGACAAAACAGTAATTTCTGATTCTGAAAAATTACCTGAATTGAAATCCACAGACACGTTAGAATCCACACAAACTCCAAAACAAAAGATACTATCACGTTTAAACCTCTGTATCGAGGAAATGCCTAAACTCAGTGGAACCCCTGATGATTTTATTGATTTTGACAATGAGGCCAACACTCCTAAAAACCCAGAACTGAATAAATTTATGGACAGATTTTTAAAACATTCAAAGAAAAAACAACATAAAAAATCTAAAGATGTAAATATAAGGTTTGTTTTATAATTTTTTTTTAATTTCAAGCAGCGAAATGTGTGAATTTCTCTTCCCCTTATTGGACACTTTATTTTTAAAATATTTAGGCAGTCTTTGATTAAGTCATCTTTCACTATTATTCCAGTATAACTAGCTGTGAATGGGCATAGGGAGTTAGACTTTTGCTCTCTAACCTGAAGTTCCAGGGTTCAATCCTGGCATAGGTCAAGATAAAACCTAGGGGCTGACATGGAAAAAGAGTAGTCGTTCGGATGGTACAATAAACTGAGACCCTGTGTGCTACAGACTGTGAATGTTAAATATCTCTCGGCAGTTGGAAATAGAAAAAGAGCAGGATATTGACACGGTCCTGGCAATATTTCCCTCATTGCACCCTGCATGGTGTTGCCCGTCTTCATTAGCCCACATGGTGCAGAAAAGTAGGATGTTTTCATTTCTAAATGGGCATAAAAATCTTCGAAAGATCAATGCAAAAAATGTCAAAGATCTTATGTTATCTTTGTAAAATATAAAGTTCTTGTTGATATGACATTGCTTGTCCTCTGAAGTCCTTTATCCTGAAGCATTAAGCTTATGTCTAATTTTTTCTGCATAAATTTAAGACAATCTTGAGAACTCTTTATTCAGCAGTTCAACTTGTAAAAATGATGTGCTGAAATTGATTGTCCTATTTCAGTATTGTACAGAAAGAATCTACTGGAGGTGATAAAGAAGAATTAAAGTTAAATTCCTTCACATATCATATTGATGATGATGATGATGATACAGTCAGTAAAACAGGGGAAGATATACCAGGTAAATATTTTGCTGGGTATTTCCAATTAAAAGAGCTGTGATGCTACATATATTGTGATAAAAAAATATGACACACGATATATCTTGATAAGGGGTAATAGGTAACGAGTTTCATTGATGCTTTAATAATTTTATGCATTAAGACATGGAAACAGAACCAAAAAAAAAACATGGTTGTTACTCAGAGTTGTACAGACAACTGACCTATATAATTATTCAGCCTGTGTCTTTACTGAAGTTAGACAAGTAGAACTTATTCTCATGTCTACACTTCGAGACAAGTTTGGAACGTTTGTTTAAAGAAGGGGGCATTAAGACAAAAGTTAATAATATCATTTGTAATTATCAACAACTTGTCACTATTAAGTTACGTTAACAATTGGTTACTTTGATCTGGTTTGATGTTTCCCTTATTTGGACAAAAAAACTGGGTTTTGTTTCCCAAAAATATTTTCTTAATGTAAAGTTCAAAAATTATTGAAATCTGGGCCGAATGTCACTAAATTGATCACTCCACTGCTATATAACCTACCATATTCCATATGAAATATTTCAGGTGCTAAATTATTAACATTAAAAGAGAAATTAGAAGCTGCTATGAAAGTAAAAAGAGAAGTATTAAGACAGAAGAGAGAAGAAATGTATAACTTGGAGAATGAGGAGGGATTTGAAGAAGGGGAAGATAACTTGTTAGATAATGAAGATGAGTTAACAGACGGGTCTGATACTGATATAGAAGATGATGATTTTGATAAACAGTTCGGGGATGAAGAATATGATGATGAAGAACAAGAAAAGGTCAGCCATTTTGTTATAAAATCATTACTAATGGAAAAATTGGAGGAATAATTCTATGCTTACTGAAACAATTGCTTTCTAGAGTCGTAAAAAAAATATACAGAGCAATATTTAAGATCAAAAGGTTCTATATATTGAAAGCGTTGAAATTTGGAAACAGGAATTTTTAAGTGTTGGAAGGTTAAAATGACGACTTATCATTTTAACATACTCTGTGATATATAGAAAAGACATATATAGAAATAGTGAGTAAAATTCCTAGTTTGAAGTATTTTTAAAGGAATTATGTGGTGTTTGTACATTTCTAGTACTTCTGAAGACTATTTACATATATTCAAGACTCAAATCAACCCCCCAAAATACCGCATCAGTCCTTGGCAACAAAATGGTTGTAAGTATTAGTAAGAATTTTTACGAATATATCTTTTGTAACTACTTCAGGTTGAAAATCCATTTGCTGATGATGAGGCAGAAGATGAGGATGAAAAAGAAGATGGAGATGTTAATAATGAAGATGAAGATGATGAAGGAACAATGAAACTACAGTTAGAAACATCTGATGAAGAAGATGAAGGTAAGACATTGTTGAAAAAGTTGAAATAGTCAGGTCCGCGCTTAGAATTTGTCATGAGTCTTGAAGAATTCTCTAAGTTGATGCTTGATTTGTGAGTTCTGCATTTTTGGATTTCATAAGGATGTATGGACAACTGAAAGTTCAATAATGCAAGTAAAAACAGTTTTCAGAATGTGTTCCATGTGCCTCAATAAAGATTTAAGTCTAGACTGAATTCATCATGGCGAAGAAAGAAATAGATTTGAATATAACATATCCAATTCCTACCCTTAGATTAACGCCTAGAGTTGGAACAAACAACATCTTCAGAACTCACAAAACGAGTGCCACCTTGGTCATGTCTTATTAATAGTTCTCCTAATGTTAAAAAGTTTTCTTTGCTGATTCTACTGGCATATTAGAATTTCTGGCATGAATATTGAATACAATGAAGTTACTGTCGTCTCAATTTTGTGAATTTGAAACCTATTTGTTGTTTTTTCTTGTAGAAATTAAGAAGCCAAGTAAATCTCAGAGAGTGGTAATATCTGATGATGAAGAAAGTAGAGATACAGTAGATAATAATATTGGTTAGTTATTTCATCTTGTATTGTCGTACTCATTCACGTTTTTTTTTGTTAGTATGCTCTCCTGTTTAGTGAGTTTATCTGCTTTGATTGTGCAAGTAATATTAGAAATTTCTCATGATATAAGATCAAAATGAAGGAGATTTCACCTCATTATTGAACATCAGGGCTAAAAATTGAACTAATGAAAGCGTAAGATCTCTAGGTAAGGTTCAAACATTAACCATAACTTATGAAACATTTGTTTAACAAAATAAAATGATATATTTGTAGATAAAGGTCACGAAGAAGAGATGGATAGTAATAATGATGCTATTGATAATGAAGATGAACTTTCACCTTTATCTAAACACCTTAAATCTAACACTCCAGTAAGTAGTCAACCTTTCTTTAAGCAGAGCCTTTGAGAAGGATTCAAACCTATGGCCTAGCAGATACAATCCAACTCAATTCCGAATCAGTTATACCTAGAAGACAACAATAAAACTGCCTACCGAAGGAGCTATTTCACGGTCTTAGCGACGATAATCCAACTTGCTACCAACTGAGCTATTCCACTGCCACGTAAAGACACTATAAATTTCACTTGACCTATCACTAACTTTTATTTTGAAGATTAAACTTTGAATAAAAATATTTGTAGAAAATGAGTCGTATTGGTAGTCTCACATTACCTATAGAGAATACACAAGATTTATATAATGATACACAAGATGGCTTTAACAACACCAACTACCCTGTTTCTGATACACAACCTTCACAAAGTTTGAATTATTTACTAGATTCTCAATCACAGATGCTAGATGCTGATGGGTAGGTTTATAGCTATTTGCCTAAGACTAGAGAGATTCCTGGGGGCTCAGTGAGTTAGATCCTTGCTTGCATATCTGAAGGTCCAGGGTTCAATCATGGCATAAGTCAAGATAACATCTTTGGATTTTCCAAACCAAGAAAGGCTGACATGGATAAAGTGTCAAGTCCTTTGGATGGGACATGTAGTATATTGATTTTATAGCCCAGTTGAATAACCTTTGATATTGACTGACATTTCAATATACATCATAAAGTTATACATTGTTACAGTTCATTCATATTCCACAGTTGTTAGGGCATTATTATAACTTCCTGTGAATCATCCAATCATATGTGTAATAGTACATGTGGTCAGTTCTAAGTTTGTCTTTTTAACTGTTCTGGTTTCATTGACAATATTAGCTGAGGTTAATTTGTTCACTACGTAATTATATATTGAAAATCAAATATATTACATGACAATACCGGTATATTGTCCATAGCACTTGAAAATCCAGTTGCCTTCATTGGCCATTATAGTATGCTGACTCTTACCTTGTTTTTACCAATAAAATATTACTAAAATCCTTTATTACCTGTAACATTTTTTGTTATTGCTTATTTTTGATAGAAAATTCAATTCTATCACACATCTGTTGACTATTTCTACAGTTTTATTAATTTTCAAACTTATTAAATTAAATGTAGGTTTTTAAAAGTAAGATCAACCCAGCCAACTAGAAGATCTCTAGGGATAGAAGATTTTCCTCAACAAACCCAAGACAATATGGAGGAGTTGTTGGGATTGTGTTCAGGCAGATTTGTTGGTAAGTTAACCCTGAAACCCGATGTACTGGCTATATAACTACTTTATAACTACCCCAGTGCTTGGTGAAGCCAATGTAACCAAGTAATGTCACATAACTTATCATATAGGTAGAGATCAGGGTATATGACTGTTTAGTTGCCGGAAAAAATAAAACTTCGATTCCATCAATTATCAGAAAACTTTGCTTTGTCAGCTTGGGTCAACAGCTTCAAAACTTAATGCCAAACTTTTGATATATCCAGCAGTAAATGGGTCTAGATGATCCTAGAGAGATCAATGCTAAGAATTTTCACCAAGGACCAGCTAGTGGAAAAGATCTTTGTGAACCCAAGTTGTTATCATTGTAAAAATTAGATATACATGATGTACTATATTTGCTAATTTCGTTATATAGAAAGTAGTAATACAGATAAAAAGAAGAAACTGTTTAATAATGATGTCTCTACACAAGATAATGATATGGATGAATTAGTTGGATTGTGTTCTGGTGTTTTTGCTACGTAAGTAGATCTACTCCCGTTTTGGAACTTAACTAAAGTGTTTTTATCTCACCAAAGCTGAAAATATTTACACTAAGAAAACAAATATGATTCTCAAATTGAACCAAGCATTTCCCTATGTTAAGTAAGCTATCCGAAAGGCCCTTAGATGTTTTTAGTGACGCCATAAACGCTTAGTTTTAAATAGTGGCTTTGCAAGATCCAAGATTTCCAACTGAAAATTGTAATAGAGGAAATCTAAGCCATCAGTGTGTTTGATACACATATTAAATTATATATTGTGAGTTTGTACTATGGGCTTGTCTGCTTTGTTTTATTATAGAGCTAAGAGTCAGGGTTTAAAAAGAAAACTAGAAGATGATGATGATGATGATGAAGATGAAGAATCAACCAATCTGTTACTATCAGAAGACGAGGCTACACAAAAGGTAAATACAAAACCTAATTTAAGGATTTACGTACAAAATAGCATTCATGATAATTAATTTATAATATATTGATAAGGTATGGCAGTTAGAGAGAAAGAAACATCCCCTTTTTTACAAGGATAACATGGTAGTTACATGAGGATCCTTTCTACCACCTGGTCCTGGCTAATTCTCTTTTGTGATGGGTCTTTTTTGAATTAACTGTTTCGACTGGAATAATGAGGAAAGATGACTTTTTTAAGGTTACCAAACCAAGGTATTACCACGTCAATGACATCATGTAAAGATTTCAACCCACTGGCCAACTGCTAACATATAAAAAATGAATGCCATTTTAATTCACAATCTTCATCAACGTATTATTTGTATTATAGTTAGAGGATAATGAAAGTTCGTCTGATGATGAAACACCTAACATTATTATTAAACAAAAGAAAAAGAAAGGTTTTAAAACTAAGGATGGGTAGGTATTGTCATTAAATAGATTGAGGTTAAGAATTTTTTACTGAGTTGCCTTGATATGACCTGCAATTCAAAAGAGACTTAATTTAGTTTCTTCATCAGTATTTTGATAAAATGAAATAGGATTCGGAAATACTTGATGTCATTCTGCAGCTTGGTTTGTCAAGAAACAATTTAATTGTTTACTATTATGTATGTGAAAATGTATTATTTCAGTTAGATAAAAGCAAAATGTAAACTTTGTGTCCTGGTTATGTAGTAATATTTTTATATTTACAGTAAAATCCGAGCTGATTTTGTAGATGAAGAAGCTGAACTTTCAGGTAAGTTTTTGTTTTTATGGTAAATCAGTACATCAAGTTCACATTCATCTGTAACACGGATATGGATTTTGTATCGCCAAAAATATTAAGAAAATGGCACTGGCTATTTGTACCGTATTCTCCATGGCTGCTAACAACGGTACAGATGAGATAAGACACAATAGGCGCATTAGGTTTTGTTTTTTTTTAAAGCGTGAAGCCATTTTGATTGTCAAGAATGATATTAAGTGACTTTGTTAGGGTTAATTAGGGATGGCCATGTTTTTTAAATTTCCATTTCTGTACTGTCGCAGAACGAATAGCCTAAGAAAATACCACTACAGACTGAATTTTATTAACAATATCCATGTTTCTCAGTGTAATTGTTGCAGTTATTGCTATGTTAATATAATTTAAGGATATTTTGTTATATTCAGGTAGTGAATATGAAAGTGATGAGAATTTAGATATAGAAGACGAGGAAGATATTTTGATGGAAGAGGAAGGAGATAAAGACAATGCCGTCTCAGAAACAGAACTCAGAGATCAAGTTGGCCGTGCTCATTTGTAAGTTGATCATTATTTTTATTGATTAATTTGTAATTGTAAGCATTGCATTATTTCAGTCTTTTAAGAATTTACATTGTTGTTATTTCTCTGTGCACACTGCGAAGAACATTAATAGTACCATTTCAATTTAATCTTTATTACAAAAATTAATAAATGATGTAAAAAAGTATGTTCTCTACTTGTGACCTTGGCCAGTGCTTCTGTTTGAAATTTAGACAGATTTTAGAATGCTGTGATGCATCATGTCCATAATAAATTTTGTAGTCTTTGCAATGTGGTTTGGTCAAGAATTGTCCCCTGGGAAAAGTTTTCCAAAAGAAATCACTTTCACTTATTGACCCATCAGAACACTGGAAAATTTAAACTTTTTATCAGTCAAGTTTTTTGAGAAAGTGACCCTAAAAGGCAGATATCATGTTTAAAATGGAAAATTTTTTTTCATGCATTTAGAAAACAAGTGATAGATGAAGACCATAGAGAAATAGTCAGATTAAAAGAAATGTATTTACCTGATGGTGATCTCCATAGCGACAGTGCTGGTAGAATGAGAAGATTTCGCTGGAGTAATATAGGTTAGTAGTCAAGGTTACCAGCAGGGCTGTTGATTTATATATTTGCCGAAATTTTTTAACTACTTTGGAAATTTGACCATTATACTCTCTCTAAAGCCCTGTGATATTAATGTCATAAAACACTTAGCAGTAACGACAGATGCAATTCAATGCTTTCAGTGTTCCTGACACACATAAAACGGTTAGTTTTTGTGGAATTTCAGGAACCACAGGCATGTGATTGAAAATTGGAATGGTGCAAATTTATGTTATCAGTGTCCATTATACACAAAAAAAATTAAAAAACTTGTTTACAATCCCTTTAAAACACAAATCTGTTTATTGTAGATGAAGGTTCACAACAAGATATGTTTGGTAATGATTCTGAAGGCGAGGAAGGAGCAGATGAGAATGAAGCTGCGGAAGAATTGAAGTGGAGAATGGAAAGACATGAACGTGAAAAATTCTTAGAAGAACAAAAGGTTTGTCTTCAAATATTTTCTAAAGATGTAGATCGAGAGGATGAAGTTGAAAAAATGTTTAGTAATTCAGATGGGACAATAAACCGAGGCCCTGTGTGCTACAGGCTTTGCACGTTAAAGATCCCTCAACAGTTGGAATTTGACATAGAGTTGGCTAATGCTGTTGTCCTGCTGTCCTGAAATTTTCTCATTGAACACCGCATGGTGATAGTCATAATCAAATATTACACACGTTAGTTAGAGTGATTGTATATGCATACAATATTATCAGTCAGTTTAGATTGTTTCATGATAATGATGTAATATCCAGTGATTAAGAGTTTAAGTTTGGACATGGACGATCTGATTTGGGATAAACAAGGTTCTTTTATCATCTCTACTTTGATTGGTTGAACCTATGATCACGACAGAAAGTGATGGCTGTTTTAATTAGCCTAATCCAATACATGAAATACCATTCATTTTATTTTCATTGTAATTTGATTTAGGAAAATGAAGAAAAAGAATCGCTGGAAAGAGAAGACAGTCAGATTTTAAAATTTGGGAAATGTTTTCTACAGAAGAAAGGTAAGCTGTACAGTATTTCATTGTTGTCATGTTTCAAAACAGACTTTCCAGATAATAGCTATTTAAACAATTCCCTTTTAGCCCAGCGTTTTATTATGTCAATTTTGTAAATATCCATAGATATTATCTGCCACATTTGCATTCTAGAATTGTTGTAGAAGTCCATGAAACACAGACATCAGACTGAAAATTGGAATAGTGCTATCATTGTCGTCAATACACATAAATCTTAGATGAAATTGTGTGTGCTAATATAATGTGCAAACTATCCCTGTTCATGTGGTCAACATCTTCATTGCATTTTGGTACATGTCAGTTTTGTCTTGCTTAACTATTATTTATACCGTTTACGTTATTTTTTGTAGATCCTAATAAAACTACATTACAAAGATCTGTATCATTACCTGTTAATAGTACCCAGACTGAGACTGATTCTACTTTTATTAAACCTTCATTAAAGGTATTTTATAATGATTTAGTTTATAGGAACATTCTGATATTTATTTGTTCATCTATATTCATAAACTGGAGGAATCCTGGACTCAATTTGCTGATCACATTTCCAAATGGAATTCTCCCAGAAAAAAGATTGAGTTAAATTTGAAAATGACAAGTTTGATAGGAGATAGGTTCATAAGACATATGCTTACTTTACCAGCTGATAGTGATCAATTTAAGCCACCTGTATCACCTTTCAGATTTGAAATCTGACAACCCCTGCATTTCAATTTTAACTTACTGTACAAGTTTAAACTCTCATTCCTTTTAGATGTAATGTCTTTACCAAGATCAAAATCTGATTTTAATGAATAAATGTTTACATAGTGATCTTAATTTTTCAGAGTTCTAAAAGGGGTTCGTTTTTAAACAGAAGTAAAAAAGATCTAGCTAAAATAGCTGATAGAACAAAGTCTAAAATGAATCCAAATCAAACTACTCATTCTAGAAACTTTGTATTCCAAGTTATATCCCCTGATAAAAATAAAACAGAGGTGAGTATATGTTACAATTAAATTACTCCTTGTGACAGAAAGGGGAGGGGGGAGGTTGAAAAAGATGTCTGACTCTTTTGCTCTAGTTGGGCTAATAGAAACACAGTGCAATTCAAAACATGAATACAAACAATCCATTTATTTTGAGGTAGGATCAGTAGTTATGAACTCAAATAAAGTCTGGTTTATATAGTGCTAATTATTACCTATTCTACCTCACATAAAATAGACTAATCACACAATGTCATGCTTTTAGCAATGAGGAAAAGTTTAGATTATAGACAGATCATTAACATGTGCAGCTTCGACTTGATTAAACATTTTTCTACGTCAGCCCCACCAAAATAAAGGTTGAAACACTGAATATGTGGCTACATAGGAATCATAAGGGTCAAATTGCATTCCAAAAGTAGATGTCAACAGAGTTCAAAATGGCAGAGAAGGGAATAGAAAAGGAAATTTTGAATGCGATTTATTTGGTTCTGTACCATTCGCCTAGAATTGGAACATGACTGAGTGCTACAATGGTAAAAGGGCTGTTTCCATACTGTTGTTGTCTATTATTGCTTTTATTTATTTCAGCCTGAAATAACTGTAACCAAGACAACACCCAGTTCTAAAGTCAAGAAACCACCGACTAAAAAACAGAAGCTGGACACGAAGAAAAATACAAAATCTCAAAATTCCAGTTTATTTAAACTATTGGAAAATTAACTTGTAGATCTAATATATCTAATATTTATTATAATAAAACTTGTCTATAATAATTTGATAACATCTTTGTAAATAATAAATTGAAGTTTGAACTTGTTATTGTTAAAATAGTGCTGATTGCGTTAATAACAGATTGCTTGGGAAATACAAGCCTATATTATGTTCATTCATTGCCATGTTTTCTACCTCATAATGAAGTGGTTTTAACATCTTAAGGTTTTGTTTAAGATGAATATTCATAAGATTGTGATGCAAGCAAAAATATTTGAGCACATTCATGGATCACTAGAAGATCAATCTACCTAAAAGTAGACTAATTTCAGTGGATTTCTGAGTGGCGTACGATTGGAAAGTTTTGAACTATTCTGGTCTCATGGTTAATTCCATAAATCCAGAATGTACAGATTTCACCCCATTGAGCAACCCCAAAGATCATGCCTGGCTGTATAAATATGTTTGACTACTTTGCTAAACAATGTCAATATCAATGTAAAGTCAATATTTAATGGTGCTTTGTACAGTTTCTCAATGTAAAATAAATAATTGTAAGACATTTGTAAGATAATTTACTACTATGCCTTTGTTATTTTGATATTTAAATCGCCCAAATAATTCAGAGACGGATGAAATCAATACAGTGAACCGTTGTGGTCTGAGTCTCATCTTGTTGAAGGGAGGTAATTAGTTTCTAAAAATAGTAACTAGGATATTGCACTCAGTTGTGAAATGTAAACAAAGCGGAAGTAGAGCTGTCTAAGGAAGCCATTTGTTGTTGTAAGACGCCTTGAATGGATGTATCCAAAATGAAAAACGAAGCAGACGCCGATTCCAGTGGCGAATTGTCATATGATGTTGGGCAGCTCAAGGAAATACAATTTGAGGCAGATCAGAACTTTCAAAAAGCAGACGTCAAAAGGCAAGAAATCTTGGATTTCGGTGATGAAGGATTTCTATTAGAAAAGTTGTTAAGTCAATCAGAATGTGACAGGTTGATTCAAAATGGCGAAGAGAAAGGATTTGATGAAATTAGAGGCTTGAATGATAAATACAGAAGTTCACAAAGGTAAAATTCTTTTCTGTCTTGAATAGTCGAGGCAGAAAAGGAACTTCATTTCATTTCATTTTCAGATGAGAAAGAGCTTACTCTACTGATAAATGGAAACAAAATGTCTGTAGTGCTACTTTGCATTCCTTAAAGTGATACGTCTTAGAATGTACATATAATTTAATTCTGAAGAATTGTCAATATGAGTATATATTCATCAGTGAACTTACCTGGTGTCATAAAGTTACAACAGAATCCCTGTAAAATCTGGAAAATTGGAAAATTCATAAAATTAAGTAATTATTATTAATCATAATATTAAGTGTTTTTCAATAGTTAATTGCATTTTCATTAAGTTTTTTGGATTTATCGGATTATATAAGGATCCTGTTATGTTATTTATGACACCAGGTATATGTACTGATGAATATATGCTCTTATTGGCCAATTTTTAAATTTTATCTTTATCTTTATTCCAAGACATAGCAGCCTATCCCTTTAAAGTAGTCTGAAACTGAGTGATGTGTGACGGAGAAACAATTGGTGAAACTTGATGGATATGTTCAATAATAATTGGCCATTTGTTTATTTTATTTCAGAATAATCTTAAAGAATGATAACCTGAGTGATATATTATGGGATAGAATTAAAGATTATTTGAAAGATATCGTAATAAATGGTGATCCAACGGAACAACATATTCATGGTTTAACTCCTTTATTACAGGGCAGATGGAAACCAATTGGGTTAAATAATGTAATTTCTAAAGTGACTTCAAGATTCATTCTTTTGATGTAAGGTTGTGTTGAGAAACAGATCCTTCGCAGAAACACTGGCCAAGCCACAAAATAAATACTTTTGATAACGTGCAAGTTAATGGTCAACTAACCTGTGGATAGTAGACAATGGGCTAACATGGAAAAAGCTTCCAGTTCTAATAGAAAAATAAACGCCCTGTCTGCTATAGGCTATGCACTTTAAAGATCCCTCGAGAGAGTAGGCTAATGCCTCCGCTTTGCAAAATTTTCCTCATTGCTGTCTTCATTAGCCCAAGCAGGTGCAGAAAAGCTGAACATATGTTTCCATTCATTGCACTTCTCCTCAAAATGACGTATGGTGCCATGAGTAATTAAAATATTCCATGTATATCTTAATTCAGATGTTTCGATTATGTCGATATAAAGCAGGAGGACATTTTGGTCCCCATTTTGACGGTCACTATGTGAGAAGTACCAACGAAAGATCGTTACAGACATTGATGTTATATTTAAATGGTGATTTTGAAGGGGGTTCAACTAATTTTATTGATGAATCTCAAATGATTCATATGGTGAGTACTTAGTCCTAGATTTAGTCCATCAGAGTAAGAGTTGTTGCCCTTGATGTCAATATTTACTTGTGAGTTCAGTTTTAAGCATTATTTGGTGCCTCTTGGTATGTGTATCTTGGATTGATAATATGTACCTGGTTTTCATGACTTATAGCCCTGTGTGCTAAAGGCTGTACAGAATAAAACTCAAAGAGTTAGCTAATGTTCTTGTCATAGAAAAAATTTCCCTTGGTGCACACTGCATGACCCCAGCTGTTTTTCATGACCTCAATCAAGTGCAAAAAAGTAAGATGTCAAACTCTGTTTCATTGCATTTTTGTAGAAAGATGGTAAATATTGTGCAGAAGAGAAGAATATATTACACCAGATAAAACCAGATACAGGGTTGGGTATAATCTTTAATCATCATAGATTACACGAGGGAGAGAAACTAGGGTAGGTAACTCCATACCAAACTAACAGTATCGAACTATGCAATAGACCTTAGCTGTGTCTGACTCGTGGAAGAAGACCTGTTGATCCTTTTGCACTTCCAACTACCAGCTGCGGACAGCTACCTGGTCTGCGACTAGACCAACCAACCTTTCGAAATTACTAAGCTTGTGCAAGCTGTGAAATGAATTGTGAACATTGTCAGATTCTGAGGTGCATCGATTTCCTACTGAGAGCAAAGCTTACATTCTGTTTCTGAAACCAAATTTTTGTCATAGTTTACCTTCAAAAACAACATAAATGGAACTGCTTTAGCAGATAAAATTTTATATAATATTGCTGTAATCTAGATGAGAATAAAAATCTGTACAAGCAAGACAATTCTGTCAGTCTTAAATCTCGTCCAAAGAATGGCAAAATCAAGAGTAAAAGTTGTAAAGTAGTGGACTCTTCCAAAGAGAATTACCATAAGGTGTTCGCGCACGACAAACAAAATGAAATTTTGTAAGGACAGGACCTTGTGGAAGATGTTCCATTACTATCAATCTTTTATAAATTTGAACAAAATTTGTAGAAATGGTAGGAAGTATATATTAAGAAGTGATATTATGTATAAGAATGTAGATAAGACTATATTAGATAGTAAAGATGAACAGGCCATGTTACTCGTACAAGAGGCAGAGAGGAAAGAGGTAAGATTATAATAAATGTCATTTGTTGCTAAATAACATGAAAATAAACGAGAATTTGGAAGAATCTGACAAGTCTGTACGTCCCCATCACTGTCATTAAAGGGTTTATGAAGAGGTTTTCTTACATTTTTATGTGTATTGGGAACACTGAGTTTCAATTGCAAGAACCACAGATGTCTGACTGAAAATTGTAATGGTGCAAATTGATGTGTCCCTGATACAAAAAAAAATTAGAAAACCTCTTTACAATCCTTTTTAATTGTAAAATCTATGTTGTATGATGTCAGCCATTCTTATTTTGATTCTTAAGTTTTGAAGAGTAAAGCTGAATGGTTGAATCTGAAATTATGTTTGTTTTTCCTTCCAAATCCTCTCAGTTATTTGTTGAATAACTAGACACTTTTCCATGTCAGCACCTCTGACCTTCATCACTGACACTGACAGAGGGTAACCAGGTTGAAATAATCCAGGTATTATCTTGACCTAAGCTGGGATTTAACCCTGGATCTTCAGGTTAGCGAGCCAACATCGAACTCACTGAGCCACTTCAGCTCCCAAGATGCAGAAAAGTAAAAGGTAAAATCTATAGAGTTACATATCTTACTCCATGGTAAATTCCTGATTTTTTTTTTGATTATTTCAGGCATCAGGAGATTGTATGGAAGCAGCAGAATTGTACAGAAAAGCTTTTAAATTATCACCCACAGTAGCAGAATACTATGGTTCCTGATGCATAATTTTATTTTCTACTTTTCTGTTACATCATCATTCAGATTTGTCCATTGTGATCATTCAAATTATCATGCATTTTTCAATCACCATAATCAAATTTAAATATAGTTTTATTATCCAATGAGAACTGTATTTATTGAAATCTAGGTTTGATATAATGGTGGTCACAATTTTGTCCCCGATTCGAATCTTGAGTAAAATCTCACATATGCCTGCGCTTTCATGACAGGATTATTGCGTTGCTGGCAGGAATTGTAATATTAAATCAGTTTGATATTTGTCGCTGATTGTTTTATCGTCTGCAAGACAAAGTATCATCATCCAATCAGATTCATTTTCCTTTCAATTGCATGATCCCCACTTTATTATCGCCAATTCGCTGAAAACGATCGACTACAATATTTCGTGTTTGTGAAGGACTCAGATTTTCATTTTAATGGGTATGATAAAGACAGATTTTTGATAAGTAATTTAATAGCAAACATAAATATATTAGTAATAAATAACAAAGTTCTAAAATATCCTCTATTTATAATCAATAGTAGAATCACATTATCCAACTATCTTATAGACAGTCATCAGAGATATTTCTACCTCAAAATAAAGTAAAATGTTCATAATTTGAAGAGTGCATGAATAATTGCTTGACTAGCCTTTTCTTTAGTGAATCAACAATAGATCAATGCAAATCAATTTACTAATCACAGATAATTTACATAAATTAACATATTACCAAAGGAGGGGCGTGGCTTAAATATTAAAGATGGTTTGTGACGCAATTTTGTCAACAAGAGGAACATAAAAATGTGAGGTAATATTTAACTCTGATATGGAATTCTAAAGGATATGTTTTGAAAACATTTTCTATTGTATTGCAGATATTGGATATATTTTAATAGAATTATGATTTAGACCAAATTCTTAATATTAGGAATAATAATTAAGCCAAAGTCACAAAAATATCTTTAGCAATTGACTGATGCCATTGATTAAGTGGATTAACCCTTTGAACACTGGGTTTATATTGCGGAAGTGTGTGGCCGGTTAACAGACTGCTAGTGTTGAAAGGGTTAAAGGACTGGAGTCATTGACTCTTGGCTGAATTGTGCACTTATAACTGACAATATCTAACTTTACAATATACAGAACACATCAAACCAAACCACAAAGACAAAATTTGCAGAATTATGATCGTGAAATATATATTTAAGTGCCTTAAAATAGAAAATTTAGCTAAAATTTGGAACACCATGGCTTTTAACAGTGTACAGAAGTGTTATTTATCCACCAAAAAAATTATGGATCATAAAATAAGACTGTTAGTACTTTTCAACTAACTCTTGAGCTTTTTGCCTTGAAGTATGTGAACTTCTGTAATACAGATAAAAATGGACGGAAAAATAAATGAAAACAAGTCGGTAAAAGAGGATTGGGATTGCAAAGAATTTACAGCAGTTTCTAGTTTAAGGGATTGTAAAGAGGTCTTCTATACTTTTTATGTATAGGGAACACTGATAACATCAAATTTCACAATTTCAGTTTTCATGCAATTCCCCTTAAACTAAACCATAGTCGAATAGTGTACAGTTTAGCGTTTCCATGATTACAAGAACCACAGACATCTGACAGAAATTGGAATGATGCAAATAGAAGCCAAAATGGCAAAGATATACATAAAGGTTAAAACCTCTTTACAACCTTTCAAATAGATTTCAACTCAGTTTATAGAATATTTACAAAACTAAAAGGACAATAGTGCTCAATACGTGATTGGTAGGTGAGAGACATAGAACAGAAAGAAATATGGCACACCTAAATATGAAGTAACTTATAGCATAGACAAACCAAATATCTAACATCTAAAAGGTTGGAAAAAAAATATTAAAATGTATTGCAAGCGTGCACCATGAGGCCAATATTGCATCTAAATCAAATGTAAGTAAATGAACTATGCAGAATTTTCTCTACAAGCCAGTGAAGGTTGGGTTATTTATATGTCAAACAAACTCTACTTCTAACTTTGAAATTGCGAAAGTGCTCCAAAACTTGTTCAGGTTCTCCAGCTATCGTGTAGTTCCTTTAAACCAAATACAGGAAACATGCTGCTTTTACTATACAACAACTATCTAAGATTGGTAGCATTGCTTAAACATTGTCCTCAAATCAATTACATGTGAAAATTATTCAAACCAGTGCAGCAGTATTTACAATAAATAACAATAAACAGTCAGGTAGTTGTCATATGCTAACAGTTGCTCCATTAAAATTCATACACAAGTACATCTAAAGTGGGACAAGATATTCGTATCATTGAAGCTGAGGTATATCTCTAGATTCTTGGTTCTACTGTTACAATTATTAAAGCTATCGGTATATTCACTATGGCAAAGTCTTATCTTTGGTAGTACTGAGCATAGGGTCTCATTTCATTAAAAGACTTGCTATTCTTTTTCGCAAAAGTATGGTATTTCTTGATGTAAAATTACACTTATGACAAAATCTTATCGGAAGATTTTTGGAGGAACTGTTACAGGACTGTTGATTTTCTGTATTTGCCAGTCACGTCCAGATATAATGTCTGCGGTCTTAGGAACAACATCATTTGAAATTGGACAAAATTTTCAGGAAAAATTAATCATTAAAATGACCAGCATCATATTATAACAAATTAACAGTGTTGTTAGGGAAACCATACAAACTTGGCATTGTTGTAAAATTCTACTAATACCAAACTATTGGTAATAAAATATAAGTTATAGATTAAAATATATAACATAGACTAAAACATGTATATTAAACATGTTATTAAATGGTCCCAGCCTCAAAAGTTAGTGAGCAAATTATTACTAAAAATACATTAAAACACTTAGTTACTCAATTAGTTTCTAACTCACTTTCATACAAATATATTCAATAAATTAAAACAAATTTCTAAAATCCAGAATATGACTCAAATTCTTGCCCTCGAGATTTTGGGAGAACACGGCTCTGAAGTTATTTTTGACCTCTGAAATTCTACAAAAGACTTTGAATTCATACAGACAAATAATAAATTTCAAAAAAAGGCCCCACTTTTGACATCCGAAATCTAAATCCACAACATAATACCAAATTAAAAGTCATAAATTTGGTTTTTTTTGCAAATTACAGAATTATTATACCTGTTGAATTCAACAGTCCTTGTGTTGATGTGATCCCTAATTTTGTATTTTTCTCATTTTGCTTTTCTTTCACTCTCTTATAATCAAAATATTTCAACTAAAAATTCATTGTCAAGTTTGTTAATTTAATTTTTGCAACACATATTAGTGGAATTTTAAGTTAATAAATTAAGATTAATTTTTGAATTTTTTGCTACCAGTATAGTTATAGATAAAATAACGGAATTTATTATATAGATACTGTATTTCTGACGAGAACGACCGGCAGACGTGATCGTTTCTCATCACACAAAATAACCATGTTCCTAATATTAACATCACTAAAAAACTGAATAAGAAAAATAATACTGTAAAACTTCGTGGTATATTCTCCTCTGTAAAAAAAAAAATAGATATATGTTATTTTAAAGAATTCTTGCACAGTATCATGAAAACAAGGTCTGAGTGCTACATCCAACAATATTAAGGATTTTAATTGTCATATTTGAGCACTACATGCTTGACTTTTCGACAAATCGGACTTAAGCATCAGAGAAGCCTAAAATTATTAAGGACATGGGGGACAGGACTGAGGATATATGTCCAAAAGAATTCCCATCTAATAAGTCAGGACATGAAAAATACAGGTTTTTGCACACACAAAAAGTTCCCAACAATTTCCTTCTTTATTCTACAAGAGAAAACTAACATACCATAAACAAGAATTCTAGTTTCTATTGGTTCACCAAATCTTACTGTCTTCTTCCTTTCTTTCTCTGTCAAAATTATAAACAATTCAAATTTGTGAATTTATTCAGTAAAGTAAAAATAACGTTTCAAATCAATTTTCAACTTTTAAATCAATGGTTTTTAATTCTATTATTCATTAATACACCTTGAAACTATCTACCCTGGTATTATAGCTCATTTGGAGACGGATTAAGAGTCTGGTCAATCGGATGGCCCTGTGTGCTACAGTCTGTGCACGTTAAAGATCCTCCGACAGTTGGATATCGGAAAAGAGCAGGCTAATGTCGCTGTCCTGGCAAAATTGTCCTCATTGTACCCTGCATGGTGTTGCCCGTCTTCATTGGCCCACAAGCTGCAGAAAAGGAAGGCCGTAATACTCCATTTATTTCATTTCACTTCATTTGAAGATAATAACAATATTAGCTATGTGCACAATCAAAAAGGGCTGATAAGCTACTGGTTGTCAGGGGTAACAGTGAGTATATAAAGAGACATATAAATTAACATACCATACGATGTATCGAGAGATTTTCTTCTGCGTTGTCGTAATATAGAAGTAGGTGATATATTCTGATAATCATCTTTATAATCCTGATCTGATTCCGATGATAAATGATGCATCGAATCTGTAACACGATTGATATATTTTCAAGACTGATGGGTTAATAAGTTGCACTGTCAACTTAAAAAAGGTTTTTTTTTTGAAAAAATACTATAAGAAACCATTAGCCACAAGACTCATTTGTATCATACACTTATGCTTGTCAACAAATCCTTCAATTTGTGCCACAATACGGACCAAAAAAGGAAAAATTACAGTATGAAGGATTTGAACTCTACCTGAATACTGCTTTCTACCAACTTCGGCATACAGTGTAGCGAAATAATCTAAACTATCTTTGGTTGTCTGATGATCATTGCCGTAGATCTGCTGGCGTATCTTTGTGGCCTGAAAGGGAAATTTCTTAAAGACATTAACAGTATAATTTCGAATACAATATGCAACCATTCTCACCCTCCAAAATATCTAGAAAAATTTTTGTCACCATAACGAACAAATACTTATCACCTGTCAGAATCGAAAAATCAACAAATTGGCATAACACTGGCACTATGATAAAAGCGGTAATATAGCGTATGGAGAACAATTTTGACATTGTCAATAATACAATCCCCTATTTGACAAGCTTGCTCTTTTTAGTGTACAAAAATGCACCAAACAAGCAATATAATGGTACATAATAGGATTTATGCAAATATTTTTCGGTGGTTTCATCACCAAATCTAGATAATGTTCAACAAAAATGACATCTTACCTTCCCAGCATACTCTAGTGCAAGATGTGGTCTGAAAAGAAACAACAGGATTCTTAATCAAATTATTGTTATACATTTTGGTGCATAAAATAACAAATACAGAACTGACCTTTATCTGACAATATGAGGAACTGACAGATATTAAATAAGAGTAAAAGGGTCTTACTGTTTTTGATCCATACATAATTTAGCTAAATTCTCGTATTCATCAGCTCTTACACTATCTTCATTAATTGGTTCCGTTGTGTCGGGCGTAGATTGGTCATTTCGTAACTTCTCTACAATAAAATACTAGAAATATCATCTACAATTTTATATATGAATCTACTGTCAGACGAGCCTCACACTAGTAAATGGAGATATTGAAGTGATTGTAAAGAGGTTTTTAAATCTTTTTATGTGAAACTGATAGTAGAGATTTGCACGATTTAATTTTTCAGCCAGACGTCTGTGGTTCTTGCAATTCCACTAAAACTAAGCATTTTATGATGTCACTATTGACATGTCGTTAAGTATTATTAGAAGCTTTTGCGATAGTGACGTCATAACATGCACATACACATAAAACCATTATTCTAGCCTTATTCTGGACAGAAATAACCTACCTAATGTATTCTGGATTTCTGTGGTATCTATTAAAGCATTTTCATAGTACAGTTTCTCAGCTTGAATAAATAATATGGCTTTTTCATCTGTATTAATTGTTAAGGTCAAACTATCTTAAATCCTTATACAGGCATCAATAATATCAAGTGAAATATTGGAAGATCACAAAAGGTATGTTTATAATATGAACTTGAAATCAGAAAAATTGCGACTTTCAAATAGTTTTAAAAGGATACATTCTTCTTTTTTAAAATAAATATCAGCAATCTACAAAATAAAGAACATTAATATTTAAATTTAGGTGAAATGAGAATTGGAATGTCTTAAGATCACCTCTGGTGTATACCTCTACCAAGCTGAAATGACTTCCAAAAGGAATTTATTGTTCACATGGTTTTACATCCCCTAAGGTACATATAGGTATAAACAATTTCAACTATACTTTCATCAGATTTATTATCAACTTTCACAGAGATTAGGTAAGCTTATTAAGGTAACAAGTTAACGTTCAACAAAAGGCAATGACACAGGGCTGTAGCAGTATATATCAAGATAGTGGACCACAGCCATATACGCCCACCATGGCATGCGGTTGGTAAATATTCAATAATGAACTTGATCTTCGTTTTATGCAATATATGTCCACATAGAGAGATGTGGGTGTATAAAAATGGAAATTCATAAGCATAAAGCATGCAATAACTCTGATGCAATTTGATAAACATATATTTGAAGATAAGACCAAGCATCACTGGCAAGTTGACATCTTAGCTAATGAGAGAGAAAAAAATCAACCATAAATCAGCATAAAGTAACATATAACAACTTACATTTCTAAGGCATTGTGGTAATAAAACAAAATAAGTATCAGCTCTCAATCCTGTTAAACAACTAAGATAACATTTTAAAGCACTGTCTGTCTGACTGGCCTTCTCATAGTCTAGTCCTTGCTGGAATAGTTTATTTCTTCTTTCTGGTTTTAAATTAGATAAATCTAAAAGTTCTACTTCCTCTACTGAAAAATATAGTAAAACATAATTGAGAAAATATTTATTATTGTAACAAGGTGTCCATGCATGTGACTATTGCTTTGCACAGTCTGAAATTCCAATTCGTTGAGGAGAGCAAGTCCTAGATGTCTGCAACTTCAGAGGCAACTCCACCTCACCCCAAATTGAAAATCATTAAGGCCTGCAATTCTTCAATAAATTTCAGAAGCCAGTCCTTTCGGTCTGTTAATAAAAAAGCAATTCCTTCAGCCCTGAAATTCTAGATGAACAACTCTGGAAATGAATTATAAAAAAAATGGAAATCGATAAAAAAAATAAATCTATCACCACCTGTACATCCTCAGCTGTAAAAAGACTTAAAAGAAAATGTGAACTTACCAATTTCATCTTCATTGTTTTTATCAGTTCCACTATTTTCTGATGTCTCTAACTTAGTGTCTATCTTACCAACATTTGAAACTTCACTTTTCTTGTCATTTGATTCAGAAATTTTTGAATCACTTTTTGTTTCATTAGTCACATCCGAAATACTGGCATCAACTCCCTTTTTATCCTTAGATTCACCTTTCACATCTGAAACACTGGCCTTACTTTCCTTTACATCTTTTGCTTCAACTTTGTTAGATCCTTTATCAGATTTTGAATTTCCTAACGACACTTTTTCACTCTCAGATATTTTTTTGGTCCTTTCAAACTTCTTGAGTTTTTCATCTTTGATTTCACTCGATGTTTCCTTAGATTTGGAATCTCGCTCCTCTTGAACTTGGGAAGTTTCTACTGTTTTATTCTCCTTATCAGCCATGTTAGAATTGAGATTCTACCCACAATGAGGGATCATACTGCTCAACTGATATATCAATTCTGAAAAAAAGAACTAAAAAATATTTACGGTAGCCATGGAAAAGGTTAATGCACCAATTTATGTATAAAAATCTTGAAAAAATAAACAATCACCAGAGACAATACAGACCAAATAAACTATAAAAAAAATGTGAAAATTTACACTTTAATGCTGGTCTTATTTATGTTTTATCCTTAATTCAATATAATCCCTATCGAAAGTTTCAAATATGATTGAAAACACTGCACTGTCAGCTGAAATCTGTCGTGTATAGGCATGAACAATAGGTTTTTGTGTGAACATGTTATTATACATTAGTATACAATATACAGATTTAATTGTCAAGTCTGTTGTTACAAAGGCATCCATTAAAGTTTTGCATAGAGAAAAATATTATCATGTTTTATATGTGGGCCTAGTCTTGTTTACATCAAGTCCAAAGTCCAAATTTATGTGTAATATCAGTATATTTTTTAATGTCACAATACGTCTGTGTCATTATTTGACTAATACATTATCAATGACAAAATCGTGTAGATAGTCACATATCAATTGATGCCAGTACCAACAGCTTTTCATTCTAAGGTCTATTTTGATTGAATCAAGACAACTCAGATAAAAAAAATCGGACCGCAAGTTGTCTTTAACATTGGTTAAAAGATCTATAAAAAAAATAGTCGGGAGGTGTTTTTTAATGATCCAAGTTATTTTTGGTTTAAGTTCAGTTGTCTATAAAGCTCATACACAGTAAAAGTGAAGCTAATGCTCTCCCCTACTGGCTACTTACTGCAATGTTTACTTTATAAACACTTAAAACAATATCAAATATCTTATCAAAGAACTAACAATACCGGTATCAGGAAATATGCCTATGGCTACAAGTATTCGAGATATTGAAGATTCTGATATCAAAGAATAGGGAAGAAAATCAAGTCAAGTGGGACTGGAAAAGGTTGAAATCCTTGGCTCAACTGGCTCGAACCTTGAACTGGTTGTGTTGCGAAATCCGAATTTTTAAAATTAAAACTGAAGAGCTTTCAAATATCATAATAATCCTGTAAACTCTAATCTTTGACTATAGGCATACACTAAGCTTATATTTTATAAAGATGGGGCATCCGGCGATGGTTAATTGATTGTTATGTATGAAGATACACTGACACTGATACAGAATGAATGACGAAATTGTGTCAAATGTTAGAGCTTGCTAAACTATGGCCATGTCTTTATGATCATCTATCCATCGAAACCTTTCAAAACATAAACATAATCCACTCACATTTTCAGCTTTAAAATTTTAAAATTTCAATAGTGTGTTGATTGACAGTTGTTTTGAAACCATAGACGCTTTTTCAACCCTTTTCACATCCGCCATTTAATTTTTAGGAATCATATTAGACATTTTGAGTTTGTAACAAATAACGCAATATTTATAAGCTGAATTTTTTTTAAACATCAGAGTAGATCTAATCCTCTAATGAAAAAAATGGCTCGATTTTATTTCATAATGAACAAAAGAATGTTTCGACATAAAAAATTTTATCATTTAAATAACTTTACAATATAGAGAATTGACTGTAGTCTGTAGGCCTAGTCATGTGATACAAAACATAATTGAATAATTGCGGAAGCATCAAAATTAGAAACTGGTTTTTTAGTGCTTTTGTCATAAGACTTGAGATGTAAATGGACATTTTATAGTTAAACAAACGAGGTACGTAGATAATTAAATTTTGCACAAGATTCCTTCGATCATCAGTGTCAGCAAACTCATGGGAATAGAGATTGAACTTAAAAAACCAAAGCCTGATATCCTGGATGAAAAAAAGCAATGGGTTTGAGGGATTTAATGCTAATGCAAGTTTAAACACCAGTGTGGATCAATATGTTCCATTGCCTCAGTTCTGTGTAGTGTTTATTTCCATTGGAAAGTTATTGAAATTAAAAGTTATATTTCTTTAGACGCAAAGACATTTCAACAGTTTATGGAACTACTTAGTAAAAACTTTATTTTTGAAATTTGGTGAGATGACAGATAAAAATTAATTCAGCAATTGTCAGAGAGTAATGGTTAATCACAATCATCCTATTTAATAATAATTGTTTTCAAGAAGCCAATTCGGAACTATAAGTGATCATTTCCCTACTTCAACCTCACAATAAACAACATTGATTTAACACAGGAAAAGGATGTAATATAAAAAGATTAAATACATTGCCAGTTATCCTTTTTTAGAAAGTTGCCGAAAGCAAGTTTCCTCAGTTCATGCGGTAATTAGAGTCTGGCAATTGGGAATGAAGTAAACCCTTTGTATCAAATCCCTTTCCAAAGACTGCATAAATTGAAGTTCTTTATTGTGAGGTAGAACTAAGTTGATTAGGATGTTGTGCATGGGCACGTATATATTTCCAAATTGGCTTATTATATTGGTCTCTATACTAGAAACAAAATGCAGGCCATTGACATTGCGACTCATTTAGTGATAGTCATAATAGTTAAGAGGGGTCATTAACCTAATTTATGGACACTTTCATTGGACTTTGCCTCATTATATATCATATCTTATACTTTGAATAGTAAATTGTTGCCTGATAGTAACTTTTACTTTCAGTCACCCTTATCACTAAATTAAATTATACCATATCATAACCTTTCAAAATTACCATACCGGTACTTTCTTGTGCTTATTTATGATAAATATCTAGTTGAAAACAAACTGTGCCAGTGCTGCCTTATTATTTTCAATCACGGGTTTGGATCTTCCTCAAGGTAAGAAAGATGCAAGTGCCAGTGCTTCTGAGAGTTGGCCTGGTGCAGGCTTTCTCCTCGATATACCATGTGGCAGTGGAATAGCTCAGTCAGTAGCGAGTTGGGTTGTCTTTTCCTTTAACCAGCAATTTGTAAGTTGTGTGAGTAGGAAGGGGAGTTTATTTGTCATGTGTTATGATTCATTGTCTTTGTATCAGTGTGACACTGGTGGACTATGACATAGTGTGGACTTCCTCTTTATTTTTTATTACTTGATAAACTAACAATAATAGGAATTGTTGGTTTCAAGCCAATTAGGCTACTGGTATGAAATATATTTATGACTTTGTTTTGTATAAATATTTGGCTCCCTTCAGTTATTTTACATTATTAATGGACTGTTACTCATATTATATTCTTGGGCCATTTAGACTGACTAGAAACTAAGCCAAGTGCTAAAAATGTCTTTTAGATAATTCTAGTTTTTTTTACTACGTATTCAATTCTCAATAAATCGAGATAAATTTGTTGCAAGTATGCAAACTTCACAAAAATTTCTTTTCATGAATGAAAAATATAAGTTTAACTATTCGTATATTTGTACACGCCAACACATGTATATAAATTTCAATCAATGTCATGGTGCCCTTCTTTTCTTCAAACAAAAACATCTATAGGGAAATATAACTTGATACTAACAAATGGACTAGCTATAAAGCCATGTGTAACATAATAAAAAATATTCCTAAACTTGAGAGTATAAATTGATAACAGTAGGTTTACCAGGAAATATTAATATTGAAAGTAGGAATACAGGAAAAAACACCGGTAATATCTATATTTAACATATCAATTTTAATCAATATTTAAGCTTTAGTAAGGTTTATTTTTGTGTCTTATTGAATCGTTCAGAATGGCTAACGACTCATTTCATGTCTAGTTAGTTGTACATTTTCCATATCAAAATCCAGGAGTATAAGTCTATGATCACAAGCCTACACATACAGGAAATTCAATTTTTATCCTGGGTTATTTGAAGATTGAAATGAAGAACAAAGCCAGGTAAGAGTGAGCGCTTTCTGCTGTGTGAACTGTAGGCTACCCTTAATGATCATCATAAATTTAGATTTTATTGTCACGAGCTACAGTGCTGCATGTGAAAAATTTGCATTCATTTATTTATGAACAACAAATTTCCTTATTGATCACTGATGACATAATGATGTAATGAGGTCATCTCCTGTGACAACTTGGGATTCAGAGTATGAATACACAAAAACTTTCAAATAGAAATAGACAAGACGATGGATGGAACAAATCTCGATAGATAGATTATTATTGTCAGAAAAGTCGGAAAAACACAACTCCTGTCAATTAACTTTAAGCCCCGCCCCTACGTTGCTAGACTGACGATGACGTATGAATACACAACGACACAAATAAAATAGTGCAAGGTTAATGAAGTGTAGTATCACCCAAGGATGAACCCTATTTGAAATCAGAAAGATCAAAAAATAATTAGTATGAGTTATTGCCCTTGTTCTTGAAAATGCGCTCAATTTTTGGCTCATAAACTTTAGAAGATTCAATATTTGACAGATTTTGACGAAACTTGGTGTGAGTGTTCTTTGTCACTTAAGGATAAACCCTATTGAAAATCAGAAAAATCGAAAAATAATTGGTATGAGTTAGTGCCCTTGTACTTGAAAATGCGTTCAATTTGTAGCACATAAACACTCTAGAAGGCACAATTCTTGATGGATTTTGACGAAAAAATTCCAAATATGAGCCCTTACGTAATTCAGATAAATCAAAAAATATTATTGCCCTTGTTCTTAAAAACACGTTCAAGTTTTAGCTTGTAAACACTCTAGAAGGCCCAATTCTTGACAGATTTTGATGATTTTGACTTCAAAAGATGTGTATGTCTGAAGGTTGAATATATCATACTGGTAATTGGTACTGTACTGCCAAATATTTTTATTTAAATTCAAAGCTGCCAGTGAACGTATATTACCTTGCCTGGCAAACTATCTTTTAACAAACGAATGCAATTGAAAACATTCAATCCTTAACACAATGTCAAGATATTATGAACTTTGTCTAATACCCTGACTGCAATAGTCACTTTTCTTGTATCACTGGTACTGAAGTTTGTAAATGAAGCTATTTGATTGGAGGCCCCAACAAAAAGACTGTAAAAATAATGGCT